AAAAATAATGGAAAAAGTACTCACTCTCCAGTTGACGAGAAGTGCTAAGTACGTCTCTGCCCGAAATCATACCGCTCCAACAGAAAATGAAATCAGCTGATGCGCTACCGAGCAGACGCAGAAACCACATTGATTGTCTTACACTTAATGGCACATCTTCTAACAAGGAAGGCAAAATGTTGCGTAAAAAGTCTAGGTATTGCATCCCGTCCAATCGATGTGGGAGAATAAATGGTCCAATGAGCATACCGTTCACCATGCCAGCCCAAACATTCACCGAAAATGTGCCCGACGGACAGCGTGCGGATTTGCTACTGACCAAACATGAGTGTTGCGAAAGTTATTCACCCCATTACGCGTGAACGTAGGTTCGTCTGTCACCAATATGCACTTCGAAAAGTCTGAATTATTGTCATGTTGATGCAACAACCACTCACAAAACCGCACTCTTGCTGGAAAATCGTCAGGTTGAAGGGCTTGTACACGTTGGACGTGAAACGGATACAGCCCCTCTTCACGCAGCGTTTGCCACACTTTAGTTTTTGATACTTGCACTTCTCTAGCCACGTCTCTAGTGCTTGTTGAGGGATTCTCGTCTACGATTACCTCTACACGCGTGACCGTAACCGTCGGTTGAAGGTTGCATACTGACCTGACACACTGACCCCGACCCACTACTGTCGTCGGGTTGAGCCAGTGACCTTGTACCAATCGGGGATGTCGCGGGTCGCGGCTACAGGGCGGTATTCAGATATTTTTGATGTTGCAGAGCCCTTTATCTCGGTTCCCTTAAGACATTGGTGTATATGGTACTAAGAAAAATTGCTTATGTTTTCAAGATCTACACGTCGTGTAAAGGAAAACTCCAATTTTGCGGACACCCTGTATTGTTTGATAGATGGAAAGTACAAAGTTGAAATTTGGTATAGAGTAACTCCTTCATGGGTAGGTTGATTACCTTTAAAATTCAATGCGAGCAGCAGAATAGTTTTTTCAATAATTCTCATCTCATAAAAGTGGCATTTGGCTGTCTCTCCTACAGTCTGTAGGAGAGATGGCCATACCTTTAAGGTGAGATGGCCAGGATTTTATTTATTTTTGCGCAGGAAAATAAAATACTTAGGTCATATTAGACGCACACAACACTTTATTTTTACATAAACGATAAAAAAATAAAATGGGAACCCACCCAAGTGCCGCATACATGTTTTTTTACAAACTAATAGCAGTTTACTTTGCAATTTTAGAAGAACACAAATCACAAATAAAATTTGCAGGGGTACTTTGCCCGCTGTATAATTTGTGAACCCATTTTCCACAGTAAATGCACCTATGTTATACCAAGTTTCAACGCTCTTCCCAAACTCCTGGCAGACTAAGCAGATGTCCACAACGCCGATGTTGTTGTCATTCAGGTTGTTTTTTCTATTTTTTTGTTTTCTTCGCTCAAAAGATTATTGAGGGGTTATTCGTCAGATCCTGTAAAACAGCTGTTAATCTTTCTTTCCTTGGTTCTACTGACTTTAGGTTTATTATCAGTTTTTCTTCTCTTGGTTTCTTTTAGTTCCTCGCCTTTTCCTACTTTTCTCTTTTTGAACGTCTCCCGACAGGACTCAATGTTTGATGTACAAGTCAACTCTGAAGCAACTGATCTGGACCATCTTTTTGCAGCTTCAACCCTTAATCTAGCCACGGGCGATATACCTGCCAGCATTTTACTGATAGGGGTTACTTCTGTTTCCAGATTGTGACAAGTCCCTTCTGGTTGAATTTTATTCTCCACAAGGTTTTTAATAGCGGTTGAACTATTATCGTTGTCTTCATTTATCAAAGCTGGCTCATCATCTTGGTCATCACCAATATTCTCTAAGGTTCTATCTTGAGCATCGGATAAGTTTTGAGTCCCAATTTGAACTGCCACGTCTGGTGTTTCAATTTGAACATGTGCTATAGCAAAAGCGTAGTCCGGTATGGCATCTGGATTGTATGTGAAGATACCGGTACCTCTGAAACCACTAACGGCATTATTAATAAGTGCAGATTTTCCCCAGGTATCAGATAATAATTCCTCCAAGCTGGTATCGTGTTATACGCCTGCCAGGATGACGCTTCAACCAAAGTCTGCAGTTTGAATAAAATGCATTTTTAACAGACTTGAAAACAGCTCTATCTGATGGCTGTAAGAAATGGGTGCAATGACTAGGAAAACATAGCAAAATTATGTCATTTTCTTTCGCATACTCCAGCATTTCAACAGAGGTAGAATGAGACGTATGCCCATCTAGTAATAGAAGTGTCTTTGCTTCTGGTTTTTTGGGAGTGAAGTGTTCCTTCAACCAAGACAAAAAAAATTGTGAATTCATGTTAGCTGACTTCTTTTTTGATATTCTTACCCTGCATAATGACTGCTGGGGGCAAGAATGTGCCTTCCGCATTGCAGCAGGCTACTAAGGTAATGGTTTCTCCCTTCTCAAAAGAGGTGAACCTTTTTTAGCTAAAACTTTATCGGGGCGATTGTTCAGCTGGAGACCTGATTCATCCATATTAAATATATTCATCGGTTTGTCAAATAACTGATTTTCCTCCAAGACCTTTTGCAACAAATCAACATTTTTTTTACTACCTCACGGTTCATACATTGACTTCTTGGTCGAGAAATACCTTCGGATTTCCTAATAGTAATTGTGGGGTTTCGCCTCAGAAATGATTGCAGCCAGACGTGTCCAGCCATTTCGGTGTTAGGGTTAAATTTGTGCCTAAATCCCAATTGATTGGTGAATTCGTAACCAAACCTGCGCACATCTTGTCTGGTTGAGGCAAATTCGCTATTCTGCATATTTTTTATATGTCTAACCAACCTGATCTCATTGGAAATACCCAACAAAGAATCAGGGCACCGCTTCCCTTTTTTATCGTTATTATGTTTAAGCCTTCTTTCTAAGGTCTTGCGAGGATTTTGAAATGATAAAGAAGCTCTTCTAACGGACATTTAAACCATCTTTAACTGCTGCCATAGCATTATTGAAATTTTTTCGCACGTACACGTTTGGCATTTAAAAAAATATATCATAAGCGGGTAACTCCGAATATATTCCCAACAAGACGAAAACATTCATGGGTTTGAAAAAGAGAAAAAAACAAGTAAAACGTAGTAGAGATGGCCATATGGCCATCTTTCCTTTAAAAAAATAGGGCCATCTCTCCTTATTGTATAGGATAGATGGCCACCGTGTTTACTAAAATCCACGTGACCGGTGGATAAAAATGTGAGGTTAGGTTGCATTCAGAAAGTCTAGCGAGAACGTTTATGCAAGAAAAAATGCGATATATACGGTATTTCCGTCAGAATTACAGTTTAATTAACCTAACACAAAAGTTTTGCATAGTGCTTATTTTATATTATCCTTTTACTTACGTTTTTATCTTGTTTTTGCCCGCAATGCCACCACAACCGACCCATACGATGCAGCTGACTACAGTAATGTACAATGTGCGCCACGTCACCTATCAGAAAGCCAGCGAAATAAAGAGACTGGGCCGTCTATCCTCTATGGCCATTTTTCCTCGACTTACCCTATGATGCTTGAGTTGTATAATTCTCGCGGTAACAAACTGTATACTTTTCCAGGTTGGTATTTCAAGAGCAGTTTCTGCTTTGAAATCTGCGCTAGATACCAGCCAAATTGACCAACTCGACAACATTGGCTTGAATCCAGCACATATCAAACAATTACAAACGATCGACGATATTAAGAAAAGGAGAAAGATTAGATTATCAAAGATATTCAAAGAAATTATCAAAAACAGAGACCTTGGTATAAACAATGCTAAGAAGTTGATTCCGAAGCGAAGAAAAACTGCACATTTGGAAACAGTTGGGAATTTTGTTGTGAAGAAGCGTACGCCAACAAGCGCAATTCAAGACAAGAAAATTCAAAATGTTGCTTGGATAAATTAGATAATACCTATCAAGCGATATTAGTAATGTAATAAATGATATAAAGTACTACTTGGACATACAGTGTGAACACACCTAATGCATGTAATAGGCTTAAGATATCATAGGTCACTAACTTGTCGATTTTCCGTCACACGAAATTTACGCTTCTTAAATAATAAATAAAAGATTTCCATAAATCTGAATGCATCCGTTGTTTTAATAAATAGAACAACAACACAAAATAAGTCCAGTTTTAGTTTATTTGAGATCTGGATAACTTCACCAGTCAAGTACCAAAATGAATGAGAACGGAGTGTGTCATTTGAATCATCAATGATGCCTTGTTGGTGCTCTGATTACAGTAAGATCCACTCAAGCGTTAGCAGTGGTGTATGATAAGTTAATCTACTTTCTTTATTTTGTAACTTAACTGTGTATAATTTTTGTTTAAACAATTTTACAGTGCACAGGACCTTTGCATGCAAGCTCTTGCAGCCTACGAGACGGCATTGTTTTGTCTGCAAGACAATAGCGTCCAATCACTTTCAGTTATCAGACGGACCAGTTTTCTTGATTCAAACGCGTAGTGTTAGAAAAACCTAAACGAATGAAATATCTCCTGAGCAAATCCTAACCTATAATTTTGATTTTGGTTTTTAATCTTTTAGAAGACTTGGTTTCAATATCAAAAAACAAGTTTCATTCGCAGACCATCCAACATTAAAACACTTTCAAACGCATATCTGTAAGCCATTAAATATAACCACACAAGCCACTTGACCAGCCTAGGGACATTTGCGTCTTTGCGTGCATTGGTAACCTGTAAGTTACTAAATATTCCACCAGAATTCGAGACAAATTTGCATGAAAAATCCAACTGATTCATTTTCATGCAAGAGTCGGCACTTGCAAGAAAATGGCAGGAAGAATCAGCTGTTTTGTTAGTGTGCATGCGTCGGATCAAGATTTCTCTTGCATCTTGCAAACTGTAAAACGGGTATTAGATATTTCGAATTCTTTTGGACAAATACACCGCCTTCAACTTGAATAACAAAAAATGTCCACATAGCCTCAATCCATTTTATTCAATAATTGTAGTATTTCATTATCTAAGAGTATTGCACAAAATCAAGAACGTTGCATGTCCGTTTTCGATAGCGGTTCACGTGACTTTTGCTCTAGACAAAGTGTAAACTTCCATTGGTTCAGATTTGCCTTTCATCACAACCGGCCCTCTATACTCGAAATGGAATTGTTCGTCGGAGTTTTCTCCATCACATAGCAGCCTGAAACAGTTGAAAATAGTCAATAGATGTCATCGCTATATTACTATTTGCGAGGGGTTAACTACTTGTGCACTACCCCGCGATCAGTTTTTGTACTAGTAGAAAATGAGTGAATTAAAAAATTTACATGCGATTCTTATGGTGTCGTCGACAAAAAGTAGTGAAATATTGCTACGCTCCAGAATGTAAAGATCCAAATAAGGACACTATCCATTCACAGTGCCGGATGCTCCGCTGTTCGATTTTCGTCCGCCGGCGCGCATGACGTCACGCGGAGAGTGATTATCATTTGGGTTGATATGGATAACGTCATATTTTCACCTACAGACCAAACGGCTGGACCGATTTTCACATATGAAGTGTCGTTCGATTCGTCTTAGCGGTGCAGCACTTTCATAAATAAAACTTATGAGGCAGGTTGTTATGTGACGTGTACATAATACTGCAGCCTCTTAAACTTAGAGACATTTTGAGTCTTCGATGACATACCAATACATTATTTTGTCTGAGTTTGACCTATGGACCTTTGGACTTTTCATGTTTCCTAACTGATCCTGTTTTTACATCTAACGGCTCTCCACTAATGCATTTCCTGCCTATGCTCTCCTCCAGCACGGTGCCCGTTAGAAGTGCAGCGTGACCCGCCAAAAAATCGAGAAAAGGTCATGCCTCACTGTCTAGCCTTTTTAAAGCTCATCAGCTCTACACAGGTCCAGAGTGAAGGAGAGAAGCATTGAAGCAATCGTACGTGTCATTCGGCGATTGTAAACGCTATTTCATTTTGATAGAAAACGTTTTTTTCTTACCGATAGACATCTTTAGTGATGTTAATATTTCCATGTTCCCCAGTTGTCTCCGTTCGACTTGTCAAATTGACAGTGTTGCCATACAGGCAATACCTTGGCATTCGTTGACCAATAACACCAGTAACTACTTCTCCTGTGTGGATTCCAATCGTTATTTTCTAGAACAAATAGAAATTACATATATCTGAAATGATGTTTGATGAGAAATGTTCCCTCTAAGATATCTTACCACAGGTTCGTCGTCAAATAAGACACTTTTGCTCCTATCTACCATATCAAGCGCCAGTTTAGCGATATTTTTCGCATGAGTGGCACAAGGTTCTGGAATACCACTTACAGCCATGTATTTGTCACCTACTGTCTCCACCTAAGTTAAAATTATTAAATATTGAAATTATTGTTAGTGTAGCACGGATAAAGTACTTTACCTTGTATATATTTGGATTCACTTTAGGATCAGTAAGATCGTCAAATTTTGTATAAAGTTCATTCAACATTCGTACAATCTTCATCACACCTTTGGAATCAGCGTTTTTCGAACAATATTCAGAAAATCCCACGATTCCAGAAAACAGTAGAGTAGCAGAATCGTACCTTCTAGCAGGTACTGGTCTCTTGTGACGAAGTTCATTGGCTACTGTTATCGGTAGTACTGAATATAGCAGGCTGGAAAATATTATCATGACTAAGACAAATGTATTCAAAGAGAAAGTCAAAGTCAAAGGATTTTTAAATACAAGTAGGACCCATACCGATCCGTCTTCTTCTTTTCTTGGTCCAACTCCCTGTATGTCTGTTGAAGCTTGTCAGTAAGTATCTCCAGGTTCCTTGTCAACTTATAATCAGCTTCAAATTGTTCAGACATCAGTACCAAGTCTCTGGTAGCATCGTGTAGCGGTATGTCACTTATGAAGAGCCCACGTCTGCAATTTTGCATCTTTTTTACATTTTTCCTATCTTGGTATAATAAAAATTAAAGCATAAATAAAAAAAAGGTATTCAATTCCAAGCTATACTAGAATGTAACTCAAAAGATAAATAGTTTATTATTTACATATTACGTTACTATACATTTAACCTGATCGGTACAATATATCAGTGAATCGGTATCGTTATATAGAAATGAAAATTCAATGAATGTATTTGAAGACAATACTTTGAAAACGATTTTTTTAGTTGAGGCGTTCTGCAACGCTGTGAAATATTTTATTTTTTTACCTTGTCAAGTCATCCAGATTGATAACGCTAGGATAACAAAGGAACACTACCACATCTGTCTCAGGAATATACAACATCTGACCTTTGAGCCTCAGAAATCTGTACTCTGGAGGGGCATTAGCTTGCATAACACCAGTTCGAGTCTTCAATACGTAAACTGTGTTTATATGAGATAAAATGTTCTCAAAAGTCAAATCTAAATGTGGTCGCACCTAAAAAAGTGAGCAAGGTTCTTGGTAACTCATTTTACATACAGTAATTATCGTAAGAATATCACAAACACTCTTGTAAGCCTTACCGTATCTAGAATATCAGTAACTTTACAGTCCAATGAATTCACAATAGGGATAATTCTTGCAACTGTGTTTCCAGTTTGGATAATTTTCAAGTCTCTGTCGAACATAATATGGAACGGAAATACCCTACAAAACGTTGCAGGACTGATTTTAGGCTCTGTAGAACAAACGGTATTTAGTCTTGGTTCTAGGGTAAGTATTTAACTTACCCAATGATAATGTTTCGATTTCATCGATTTCAGGTAACGTCGGCTTTCTGGGCCCAGATTTTTCAGTTATCAGAAATTGAACATGGTCACACTCCTCTTTTGTTTTGAAAATCTCTACTTCTACTTCTGTGCCATGTAATTTGCTAGCGACTGTCTAAAAAAGGTATAAAGTGCACACTTGAGCCCCATTGGGCCCTTCATACGTTTTTCCAGGGTATCGTCAGCTCGGTGACAATAATAGAAATTTGATTAATATTAATGGCCTAGAGAATATAACCTACCTTAACAATACCAATGACAATATGTTCCAGTCCTGGTCTGTCCGAATAATAGTGCAACATAAGTTCTCCGTCTTCAGATCTTTCGGTGCATCTGAACGATGGTGCTTTCATCCCAGGGTACAAAGTACCCAGATGGTCATGTAGTGCATCCAAATTCTGCAAGAAATCTCTCGGAGTAGCCCCGAGTACCTGCAGGATTTTGTCGTAGCCTGAGTCTTGGCAGAACTCAAAAAACGTCTTGCCGAATAGTTCCAGTATCGTGTTGGCAGGGATTTCTGTAAAAAAGCTTGTTCAATTTAGACAATCCAACCCTGTCAAACTAAATGACAAATAGATGTAAATGGCAACACTGCAACAATGCGGTGTGTCTGTGCGTACTTTAGTCAAATGAGCGACGAAGGGTCAAGCTACACGACGAGTTTTGTCACTAAATCATATCCAAATTCAAGATAGAGTAAAACATGACAAGCAAGATCGGTTGATCCGCCACGAGCACAGAGCGTCGTGTCTTCTTCTTTCAGTGTTGTCTCCTTCTATTTGGAGATTAGCGACCACTTTAGCACTGAGCCATAACATCAGCTTTTCTTATAAGGTGTTCAAACGACAACCCTGCCCAGGACAACTTTTGGTCTCTAAATGATAAGCTCAAGAATTCTGGCTAAATCTTAGCAGCAGCTGCCTTTCCATGTTTAACCTCGCAGTCCATGGAGTTTTAACTAGGTATTCAGCGATATATCCACATCTCAAATGCTTCGATTTTGTTCATGGCTGCTGTTAAAGGTGTTAAAATTTCGACAACATATAATAAAAATAGACCAAACAGCATTTAGACATCTAGCTCGAACTGGACATCGCATTGATGTACATCTAGCAATGTTGCAAAAACTAATGAACATTTTTTTATACTACATTAGCCGTACTTTTGTCAAACTAACAAACTAATGCAATTCAGTAATAATTATAAAAATCATTCTGGAAACGACAGGACGTTGCTATCGTACAATAATCGCCGGACGGTTCTGAAGATATTCCAATTCTTCAGCCAACGAGAATCACGTATACTTTATCTGAAGTCACTTGAAACACTGTGGAATACCGGGTGCGTTTTATATATCTATATTTAACACGCTCTGTTGCTGCAAAAATCGCTAAATTTCGCAGCAAATATCCCCCGTATAAGATCAAAGGCAGTTTCACCGGTCCACGTGGAGTAAAGCACGCCTATGCGTGGACATAGCCAATGAGAAAGCGTGTATTTCAAAGCTCTGAACAAGTGCAGGTGGCTACTGAAAATTGAAACAATTTAGCCAGTGCCGTGTAGCGGTGAATAAACGTGTTTTCTTTAGTCTGTCCGTGTTTTTTCATAGATTTTATTAGTTTGTGTGTTTTTGACTTTTGAATACTCAGTTTACTTGTTGATTTAATTGTTGTGTTGATTTTTCTTGTGGATCCTAAATATGGCTCTTTGGAGACCTTGGGAAAATGCTCCAAGCCACGAGGAGATGGTTGATGAACCTGTGCAGGCAGAATTCTTTCATAAAGATTTAGAGGAACAGACCCAAAGAGTAATCCTAAATATGTATGATTGTCTGAAAAACGAAAATCCAGATTCCTCGCAAAATCAAATTTTAAACAGAATTTGTATCCTGACAAATATCAGTCGGTCTACCATTTATCGGGTTATAAAAAGGGGAGATGTAGTCAACCATTCCTTTCACAGAAAGCGCATAGGGCAAAAATTAAAAAGAATAGACGTGGGTTTTCAGGAAGATATTAGTCGTATAATATACGGATTTTATAAAGAAAATTTGGTGCCCACGTTGAAAATGATACGGGATAAATTAAAAGATTATCCTGAAGATTTTTATAATTACAAATGCTTAGACTCACTGCACTGTATTGTAAAACTGTGTGGTTTTCAATACAAAAAATTAGATAAAAGAATGGTGATTATGGAGTCGTCTCGAATCGTTGAATTGCGCCCAGAATTTTTGCACAAAGTTAAAATCTATAGAGAGCAGAAAAGAAATCTGATTTACCTGGATGAAACGTGGTATGATACCCATGATGTTGTGCAGTACGGCTGGGTTGACGACAGCAACAAGTGCATTTTAAATGCACCATGCAACCGTGGAAAATGAATCATTATTCTCCATGCTGGCAGTGAAAATGGATTTATACCTAATGCCTTGCTGTTATCTGCCAAAAATATCAAAGAATCATGTGCCGACTATCATGAGGACATGACCTCCGACTTATTTGAAAAGTGGATAGAGCAGCAGTTAATACCAAACATTTCCCCAAATTCAGTGATTATTATGGACAATGCGCCATACCATTCCCGACAGAAAAACAAAATTCCGAATACAGGCACAAAAAAACAAGACATTATTGATTTTATGAAGGATAAGGGAATGGAAATACCACAAAAATCAACCAAAGCCATATTATTGGATCTTATTAAAAGACAAAAATTTGAAAAAGAGTATGTTGTTGACAATCTGCTTCAGCAAAATGGCCATGAAGTATTACGTCTACCTCCCTATTACTGCATTTTTAACCCGATTGAGTTGGTCTGGGCTGCTTTAAAAAAAAAAGTAAGAAAACATAATCAGACCCCTCAATTAAGTGAATCGCTATTGGCCACAATAAGAGATGCAGTATCTCATATTGCCGCCACAGACCTATGGAAGCAGTGTTCTAGGCATATTATTGAAAAAGCAAATGAATATTGTGTTTTGCCTCCTGTAAATCCCGTTGTAATTCCTCTACAAGATGACTCTAGCGACAGCTCAGAAGGCGAGGATGATATATAAATACCTATAATGTAAGTCTTTATATACCTTTTTATATACCTACCTGCTATGTAAATATTTGCCTATGTCAAACGTTGGAATTCTGTAATTTTTCCATTTCTTAACTTTCAGTCAACATAAATTAAACTCCCAATATAAGTATTTTTTATCCCAAATGAAAAAAATGAGAAGATATTAAAATCCATTTATTGTGACCAAAGGTTTTTATGCTATTTCAAGTGACTTCAGATAAACCATACACACTACGTGGTGGTGCTTACATCGACAATATTTTCGGTTTGAATGGTGTTTAGGCGATGCTATGAAACTTACTTAGTACTTCAACTGCCGCACCGATCAAATTATATGTAAGTTCATCGTCATAGATTTGGCGTACCAAGAACTGACCTTCCATTTGAACTTCCGCATTTTTTCTAAAAAAGCGTCATTTTAAAATACATTCAAAGACATTCTTGACTTTATACCTACTTTATAACTTCCCAGGTTTGCTCACCAAATGATTTGATCACCAATAGCTCCAACGCGTAGTTTACAAATCCGTACTGAAAATGAATAAGACAAAAATTATGAATCTTTTACACAAACAAAAACGTAGAGTCGAGTAGAGTAACTTTCAGAAGATTGTAGATACAATATTGAAGATTGAGGTTACTTCCAAAATATGTAATTTTATTTTTTGTTTTTCGTGTTTATGGCAGTTGCCGAGAATTTAACTACCAGGAAAAATGAGTCTAAAATTGCCATTTGTACATAAAACACAAAGTGATATTTTTCCGTTTGAAAGGTTAGATGTTTTACAACCGTAGCAATTTAACTTTTCCTGTATTCGTAGTAAAGTTGATACGAATTCATGCGTTCCACTGTTATGTCATACAGGGTGGCGCATCGAAAACGAAACATACGCAGCTCAGTTTTTTTTTGGAAAAACGCTCAGACCCGTCGATTTTGTTTTCGAGGGGGACACAAGTTTGGCAAAAAATCACGTTAACACGTGCAGCCCCATGGGCGGGGGTGACAACAACCCTAAAATCATAAATGGAAAGGGGTTATTTTGAAGGTCTATCAATTTCCTTTATAATGATGTAAAATACATGAGCTTCAGTTCAGTAGTTTTGAAGATTTATTGATTAAAAGCTTAAGGTACATCAGATTAGTTTGTACTACTTTCAGAAGAAATTTTACTAAAAGAATTTACTTAATAAGTATTATATATTATACTTTGACTTTGAAGTTGAGTCATTAATTTTCAGATAATGATTGTAGAAGGAAGATAAACCAAAATATGTGTGTAAAAATAAAAAAAAAATAACAAAAAAATGTTACCTTGTTTTATAAAGTATCCTCCCAACAAGTATTTCAGTGCGGACCTGTATTTGATCGTGCGGTCTTGGAGCACCGGCATGCCCTCCCCTGTGAGGTCTTAAGTGACCTGATTCACGAGCCCTTTGTACTACATTAACAAAGGCACGATGGGTTGGTTGCACTCGATTGGGAAACCGATCCGCATAAATCCGTGATGCCGCGTAAATAAGAATCATGTCCACAAGTTCAGCATTTTCGTAAACATGTGCCATTCTTGATTTCGTTTGAGCCACGCAACAGACACCACTATTCACTCACGCGTTACCGACTGACACTGACTGTATACAACTGAATAAAATAATTGTAAAAACATCGTTCCAAATTCTTTCGCTTTTTTGTTTCCGATGCGATGAACGGATAAGGCGGATTATATCCGTTGTTGCCAAACACGAGCACATAATATTATTATTGAGACAGGGCGGTACTCAAACTTCCAAAGGGCTATAACTTTGTTACTTTAATTTTACCAGAAAAATGGTAAAGGAAAAAAACATTTCTTTTGATCAGATCTACTCACTGTTAAAATAAATGACTCAACTTCGAAGTCACCCTGTATATTTTGTTGTTGAAAATAGCTATTGGAGCGTTTTTTTGTGGCAAAAAAGTTATTTCTTGAAAAAAGATAAGGAAATATCTCGTACTTATTTTAAATAGGAATTTGGTACATAGTTTGCGATTGATTTGACCAAACTTTGTTGCTAAAATAACTTGTAACGCTTTATATCATAAATTAACCATGGTATATTCCACAGCAGAAAGAGTTGAAATTATCGAAATGTTTTTCGGAAATAATCAGTGCGCTATAGAACAGCAGAAATATTTAATGAGCGACATCGTGCATCGAAAATATGTTCTAGAACCTGTAGCTAAATTTCGGGAAACTGGGTCAGTCGCCAATAAAAAACGCAACATTGAAAATCCCATAAGGAACGAAGCAATAGAAGTGGGGGTTTTAGGGTAAGTTTATGTAGATCCTACGTTAAGTACCCACAAATTGGAGACTGTGTGTGGTGTTAGTCGACGTACTGTCCAACGGATTCTAAAGGCCCATAGTTTTCATCGGTATAGAATTCACCTGGTACAAGAACATAATGAAGACGATTTTCCTTTTTCTTGGAAATGGAGTAGTAAATCGTCATAACTGCCGATATTGGTCCGATTCTAATCCCAGAATTTATCATGAGGTTCATACACAGCAGCCACAAAAATTAAATGTTTGGGCTGGTATTTTTGGCGATCATTTAGTTGGTCCTTTTTTCTTACCTGGAAATTTGAGCGGAGAAATGCATTTGGAATTACTGGAAGTCGTCATAGATCCTGCGTTAACAGCCATAATTGAAAATCAGAATGATCGGCGGTACATTGCGAATAGGTTGATGTTCCAACAGGATGGTGCCCCACCACATTACTCATTACGTGTTCGACAATATTTAGATCAGACGTTTCCAGATCGATGGATTGGTAGAAGAGGTGCCATTGAATGGCCCCCAAGATCGCCAGATTTATCACCTTTGGATTTCTTTATGTGGGGTCATTTAAAAAGCAAAATCTATGCTACTCAGCCAACATCATTAGAAGACCTGCGACAAAGAATTGTAAATGAGTGCCTTCAAATTACTCCTCAAATATTGCAAAAATGTGCGGCAACGTTTTGAGCAAAATCTTTATTATTACATGGAGAGTCATGATGGCCATTTTCAACATTTAGTTGCCTAACGGGGTCAGTTCATTCTTCTTTTTCAAATTACTTTGCTGTCAAATGTATTGATCTCCACTGATGATGTTATATTAGTTTCATTTAAGCTTTAACTCAATAAATCTTCAAAACTACTGAACTGAAGTACATTAATTTTATATCATTATAAAGGCAATTGAAATACCTTTAAAATAAGGTATCACTCGACCCCCCTCCCCATTTAAGATTTTGGGGGTGGTGTCACCCCCGCTTAGGGGGCTGCACGTGCTAACGTGATTTTTTGCAAAACTAGTGTCCCCCTCGAAAACAAAATTGACGGGTCTGAGCGTTTTTCAAAAAAAAACTGAGCTGCCAGTAAATGCGTCTGTTTCGTTTTCGATGCGCGACTCTGTATAATTATGATGAATACGCTGCTACTTATTTGTCTCTCTAGATCGGCAAAGGTGTTATTTGTGTTCACCTCTTGGGAACTGTAAACTGTGCGTGAAAGTCTGTAAGTAATAACACGTACTTTTCAGTCGATTGTAGAAAAAAAATGCTGAACTGAATCATATCGACAATCTTATTCCTAACAATATTCCTATTCCAAAGGAAATTGGCGAATTAATGCCCTCCTAAATACATATTATCCCTAGTCTATCATTTGACTGGACTATTCTCGCTGTTCCCGGAAACACTACCCGCGCCCGGCAAGTTTAAGTTCTTCAACAGCAAGATTTGCTATTGGCTAGGAGTAATTGTTGGCGGTTCATTTGTTTCAGCAGTTTTGCCATGGTCTTCCAGCTTGGAGGTTTTTCTTTCGGAATCTAGATTTTATTGGTAAATTATGACCGTTTAATCGAAAAATAGAAATAGTGAAATGTGAATTAGAAGTGCGGGAGTGATTATTATGTTCGAGGAGGTCGGTGAGTACAAATTTAATGGTGAAAATTCTACAAATACTTTCGGTGCATATCTACCTTACGCATGCCATGTATATGCTAAATGTGAGAAAAGCTGCAACATATAAGCAATATCGATCAAAATAAATAGAAAAATCATGTTAAAAAATATTTGAATACATTGTAGTGTTCGTAACTCCGTCTTTAAATCACGCCTAATTTTTTAAAATACTCTTTTTGCTTGTTTGACCAATCGGTGAAAAGCGTTTCCACTTTTTCTACCTCATGAAACTCGTTTTGAGCTGATCATCTTCTTTCTTTGTCTTACTTCGGCATTTTTCGATAAGTGATTCGGCAGTTATGATACGGATTTCGTCGACGTCGTTCTACCGATCTTGCGAGAAAGTCGTTCAATCGATTTTTCGGGAAAACTATCGACTTTTCTTTGCCATAGAGCGCATCGTTCGAGTCTAACTTTTGTTTGAAACTGCATAAAGTGTGATCTTGTGATCTTGTGTGAAAATCTAGTGTCTGAGCCAGGGTGATGAATAATCAACGGTCATCAAAGGGCTTCCAGAGATCCAGAACGTCGTTAATGTCCTGCTAGCAGTCATGGTGAGTGAAGATTATAATCTGTAGTTAGATGGGATGTCGCCAATAATCGTGTATTTTATATCCGATATAATTATCAGCCCAGATTATACCACTTAGGCCTACATTGAACCCTTTAGTTGTCCTCCCTAGGGGTTACTCTCAGGGCCAGATCTGGATTTAGAAATATGTCTAGGGGTGCGCAGTGGTGGTAGCAGAATTCATGTAATTTGAAGATGTTTAAAAGAAAATTAAAGGCATATTTCGTAGACAGTGCAATTTCTTAGAGAAGTTTTGTTTTTATAAATATTCGTATGTTATGTAATTGTTATAGTTTTAAAAGAATGCAATCGTAGTAATCTGCTAGATAGATCCTATAAACAAGCGAACAAAAATGTCTGCATCGGGAGAGGTCTGAAATCAAATGCTCTTGTAACAATCGAAGAGCATGGTGTGGGATCCCAGTGAACATGATGACACCAAAAAGACGTCATTGTTCGCTCACTTTTGGTCGTAAACGTCATTGACTAAAAAATGACGTCTTTATTGACGCCATTTTTATAACGACAATAAGATGTCCTATAAAAGGCTGTCATTTTGACGTCTTTTTTAGGACAGTCAGTAATGAACAATCAACACTTACCTACAGAAAATATAGACCTTGAATGAGCAGTAAGGTAAACTAGATATCCTAATAATAACTACTTCATTTCGTTTTATGAATCTATGGGTTTGACCGACATCACGATGGCTTCGTTGTCATTAACGTACATTGTGCGGTACAATTTAGTAGGGACGATAGTATTGCCAGATAGTCAATAAGGCTTGGGTGACACCCAGGAGACAAGAAATGTTTTGGCCTCCTGTGAGAGGGCAAAGAGACTTTGATAAATTGCTACTAACAAATTCTGAACGATCGGAGGACTTGAGAGGACTTTGAGATCAAACGGTGTTTTTTAGTTCTTCAGACGCAAATTACGACGGATCGCTGTGTAAATAAAGATGGAGTTTGTTATGTTCGGCTCTTAGGTATTATTTCATTATTTGATAATGTACTCGTAAAATGCAAACAATTAAAAAATGGACTTACCACCAACTGTCTCAGCGCTTCACCTGGTGTGTGAAAGTTTATTGAACGTATTAAAAAAATCCACTTATAAATAGGGAACACAATGTTGATACATACATTGCTTTTTTTTTTAATTCCCACACTGCAGTTTGTTGTATTTAAAGAAGGTGTACAAAATGTCGTCCTCCACTTTCCACACAAGCTTCATTGCGACGAACCCAGCTTCTTCTTACTCTAGGTCCTCGAAGTTATCCATTTATTATTTCAGCCGCATTAAATTTTTTTTCACGAAGTTGTGCTTCAGTTGTTATTGGACCAACCCCATAAACCATCCCTTTAAGTTCTCCCCAATACCAGAAATCCATCGGATTGAGGTCAGGAGAGCTTGCTGGCCATTTTCGATGATCAGGAGCATTTCGACCGATCCAGCGATTTGGATAATGTTCATTCAAATACTGAATGTTTTCAAAAAAATCCAGATTTTCAATGTTTTTGTGCAAAAATCATTGGCAGAATGTTTGTCTGCGAGGATAGTCTTCTGGTAACAAGGCCTGCACTCGTTGTACATGGTAGGGATAAAGAAAATTTTCCCGTAGGGTTCTATGGACTATGGTATGCGATAGTCCTACGCGCCGGCCTAATTCCCGAGTACTGATATCTGCATTGATTTCCACGATATTTAAAATTTGTTTCTCCTGCTCTAGAGTAACCTGTCTCTTGATTCGAGAACATTGTAAATAAACACGGCGACGTACGCGAACAAAAACAAAACAACACGCCCGATGCTCCGCTCGACAAAACGATAAAGTAATTTATCTAGGCAAAACGATAACTAACCACTGTTACCGTATGCGATCGATTGCCGGTTCGATAAGAGTGATGAAAGAGCGACGCGCTGTTGTCATGTGTGTTTTAAATATTTAATTTAATGAAACTTACTGACTACACATTTTGGCTTAACTTAGAAACACTTAATGCCATTTATATGTGTTAATTACCCAATTTAAAAACATTTTAGATTAGATTATAAAAATTAGTAAGATTGTGGTGATTGTGGTCGATATAAAGCAGTTAAAGTTCTAAACTGTAAAGCCATTTAGACAAAAATCTATTGACTTTTGAACCGTGGGTCATATGAACTTTTTTACTTGTTTTGACTCCCCAATTACCCATTTCAATAATGACTACCATAACGTTTACACCCTGTTTATTAACCATTTCGGTACACTTTGTTCAAATGCTCCTGAAAAATTGCGGAGATGATAACAACGTGTCGGAACGAGAGGATTCAAGAATGGTAATTAGAATATGAGTTTCATCGCCTTTCTACCACCCCTGAACTCACTGCTTGTCGGGCGTCATTGTCACATCCTCAATTTTTCAGGAACAGTTGGATACACCGCGCGAGATTATTTTTGCGAGTGACTGTACGTCATATCGACGTCACATAGACGTTATATCGACTTCAGATAGACGTGATATCCACTCATACAGACGTCATATTGACTTTGTATTTGGTCTTTTTTACGACATACTATGACATCATATACTGACGTCAATTGGGTGTGACATTAGACCGTCATAATGACGTCATTTCTGTTGGTCGGCGTACGTCAGTGTGCTCTAAATATGATGATATGATGACGTCACTATGTTCACTGGGATACGACTTTACGATTCAGGTCTAGCATGGTGATGTTCGCACCAAAATAAAGCTCGCGACCCCCCTCTAAATGTACCAATGATATGGCATAAAAAGGCCAACGTTCCTGGACAGTCTCAAAGGAAATTACTTAGTGTGAATTTTTAAATAAATTCTCTTGTTTTTATCCAATTATTTTAAAACAAAAACCGTGGTTATTCTACACGACAACAGACAGAATTCTCAACTGAGCTGAATACTATTTCAAAATTACAAATTTGTATTTTATACGAAGCGCAACGCCCCGTAACAATCAATTGCTTCTCTAGAAAATCCTTCAATAGTACCTTTCCACTATTAAGTCACTTTTTTCAGATCATCAATCCAATTTCACTGATTTTATAAAATAAAAATGTACATTTACATAGTCGACGAACTGTCTGTAAGCTATGAAGTTGGAACTAGAACATATTTGGTTAATACTCATACTATTACTATTGGTTGTCAGTTTACCCAGTTTCTGTTGTTTACATTTTGAAAATAGTACTCAACATGAACATATTTAGCCATAATGTTTTGATTTTTCATACATTTCTACAATTTGTTGTTTAAAAGATGAAATAGTATGGGAAACCACGGATGTATACCAAGTTTCGGTCCAAAAGCCAGACGGAAGATTTTCTTCTAATTTCGTACTTAGTAAAGTTTCAAGCTCTGAAGTTTCATTCAATGTATTTTTGTATGTAGTTTCTTATTTCAGAATAACACCTTGTTCTTTAGAGTTTTGTTTGAAAAAATAGAGCATGGTGACATTGAACTAGGTGCAAAGTATAGTCAAACTACTCGACCCTATATATTATTAGAATATAAAATTTTGAAGAATTATAGTTTAGTCCAACTATATTGTGTTTTGAATTTCCACACACAACCACTTAAAATTGAATCCATCAATCTTGCAAATAAAATGGTACACAGATCAATCGTCTAATATAAAGAGGACACACTCACCATGTTTTCAAACAGGCAGAGTGAGTATTATCAGTGAAAACAGACGCACATCACGTAAGGTTACGGCTTCAGGGCATCCTAGATCGATCTGCCGCAAAGTCGCACGCGCTTGCGTTTTTCGCGTATTTGCGGCATCGATTCTCATGGTAATTGGTGTGGTTGCCTTTTCAAATGGATTTGTAACGAACCGCAAAATTTACAAGGCGTTTCCAAAACGTGCAGCAAAAATTCAGGATTTTTCGATCGTTCTTTGTTGTATAAGCATTTTCGAAAAACAGTTTTCGATAATACAGGGCGAACATCGATGTCAAGTATTTTTGGCGAATATGTCACAGGTGAAAACTGTAAAAAAAATAATGATCTCCTGCTCTCAAGACTTTTTTATGGCCATATTCGAATCTTGCGACCCAAATTAGTTTATTGGTACGGATGGCAAAAATGAAAATATTGCAAGGCACTGTCGTATAATTATTTTATAAAGACGTATTATGAGCAAATATTAAAAAAAGGTCATCTGTAATGCGCACTAAAACTCTTTTGAATGGGTGAATCGGGTGTATAGATCCAGAATCCACAGAGCTTATTACGTGAAAAAGGTAAAAAAAAAACCGATAAAATGTCAACTTGTTAACTAGATAGCTGGTAGTGTGCAAAAAGTTCATTCCGCGACAAGTGAGCATTTATTTCTATAGAAATGTAACAAGTTTAAACATATTATTTAAATTAAACAACTTTGATGCAAATTAAATTTTAAAATGTCTCTTCTTGACGTAGATGCTTCTATCTCGTCATGAACTGGGAAAACCTCTCCAACAACCTGGCTAAAATGAAAGGTGGAAACATCCGGAACTTCTGGAAATCCATAAATATATCCTGACGAGTGTTTGGTGGGGCGACTTCTTAAGAAAGTGGCTTCAATGTCATTTTCTGTAATATTAATGACTTGTCCGATAAAATATTTATTTCTTTGTCTATTTCGATATTTTGTTGGAAAACACACCAGAAGCCAAGTTCCTTTATCTATTAAATCAAGCGAAATAGGAGAAACACATCGAAACAATTTACCCTCAAAGCAGACTGATGCTGATGAATTATTTGTATCCAACTTTTATCGGTGAAACTTGGTAGTGAAGTGTCCATTTCTGAGTCTGCATCTGAAGAATGATCTTGATCTTTTTCCATGTCAGAGTCTTCACTTGAAGAATGATCTTGAGCTTTTGCCATTATTGGCATGAAATTAATAAGGGGCAAATTCATTTCCGGGTCTGAATCTTCATCTAAGGTTTCCATACTTCTTTCCAAATCAGTATCCTCTTGATCGTCTTTATCCAACGTGCTTTCAAAATCTGCACTTGTAACGCTTTTGCCAGCAGGAACTTGAATTTTACGACGTCGACTCTTCACATTTTGACCATCGCCATATCTCATTGTTCTTAGAAGGTTTACCAAAGAGTTATTAAGTCCTTCTTCAATGTTCTGATTCTCATCATTTGTCTCGTCAAGATTTTGCTGCGGAAGGCGTCCCAAGACTTGATCCCTATTTAGTGGAAAAATTCCACACTTTCTAAAGCCAGATTGTATATTTTTTCCAGCATTAGGCTCAATAGCCTTTGACAAGTCATTTAGCAAGAAAGGGAATCTGTCCTTTGGAACCGTGCAATGCTTTGAACCAGCCCCCATTTTCCATTTTTCAAGGATCTGTCGCCAGGCTGTTTTAAGAGGCCGGAAAAATGCCACGTCCAGAGGCTGGGTCAGATGAGTAGAGTTAGCCGGGAGGAATATAAATGAAATATTATTTTCTTCGCAAAGAGATACCGTACTTGCAGAAAAATGTGAACTCAGATTATCGCCAATTAAGTACTTCTTTCCCGGTAGATTTTTTACTGCAGGTATGACAGTGCTCTCTACCCAATCTGAGAAGGAAATCGCATCAAACCAACCTGATGGACTTCTATTAAATCTGACGTCCTTTAGTCCTCCAACTGTCCAAGATGTATACAAATTTTTAGCTTTGTAAACCACGTATGGTGGGAAAAATTTTCCATCAGCTGAAGCAGCGTACATAATAGAAACGGCTGATTCGACGTATTGCAAATACGTTCTGGATAGCGACAGCCCCTTTTCGAGATTACTTTCTTTCTACCCGGATCGTCAGTTAAATTTGTTTCGTCGTAATTTACTATGTTTGATGGCGGTACATTTTTCAACTCCGTGGCTAAATTGTCAAAATAAGCATTGATAGTATTGGGAGAAACAGCAGCTCTTAAGCGCTTGATGTTTTGGCAGATTCTAGATCTTAATTCATTTTTGTGACGTTTTGAAAAAGAATAGACAAAGTCTCTGCCAGGGATATTATCTTTAAATCTCGTTATTGTTTTACCTCTACTGTCTAGGTAATTTTTTATCATCATCCTGACGTCCAAATGGTCAAGTGGATACCCCCAATCGGAACAAACTATTAGTTGATGGACTAAAATATCTTCTTCTTGTTTGGTTAGGGCTGTTTGTCCTCCATGAAGCTTCAGATTTCGGTTTTTGTGGTGCCGATAAAGCACAGAATAATGAATGTTGTATGTTTCGTGAGCCACTCTGTAACTCATCCCGTTGTCAATTGAAGCAAGGGCTATTTTTAGAGTTTTTTAATCAATTTTCTTATATGTTTTACCTCGAGGGTCTGGTTTATAAACGCGAGGCATTTTCCTGCAAAAGAAAAAACAGTTATGGGGTGGATAGAAACAGCGGGTGAATAGAAACAGCGTGTTTCTATTCACCCCAAAATTACTTAAAAGTGTGGTTATGTATTATATTACATCATAGCAAAAAAAATAAGCAAGACAAGCAATTTCTGAAATAGGCAATGTGAACCAGACACCTTAAAGCTACTTTAACCAAAAACTCAATGTCTTACCTGTTTTTAGCTAACCACTGTGAATAAAGTTTTGCTAGTGATGAAAAAGGCTCATGGTTTCACTCCGACGGGTGGTTGCTACTGCAATCAGGGCTGCCAGCATAAAACATCTTTGGCCTGTTAAAGCAGTTATGGCGACATCTGTTGACCGTTTGAGAACAAATTTGAAGCGTTGGGAGGTTTAATTCCAATGTTGATTTTTTTTAAAAGAAGTTTCCCGTTTTTGTTGCTATTCACCCAGCAGTTTCTATTCACCCCATTTCACGGTACTTCAGCTTCATTTTTGAGAAAATTGATACAGGCTGACTTCAGTTTTACCATAAAGTGGAGCTTATTAGTTGTACTCATTACAGTTGTTGGGGACACTTTAAATGTAGTTCCTATGCTTAACAAAGTATCCTGTGTAGCCATATACCACAAGAATATTAAAATATGGCCATATAAACTCACTAGATGATATCTACCTGTATACGGTTTTGCTAATTTCTTTTGTCATCATTTCTGCTGAATCAATAAATGTTTTCTTTGACGTGCGGAAACATTTAGAGAATTGAAAGTTATCATAGCTACAAAGCCATGGTTCCATCATTAAAAAAAAATCTGAAAAAACATTTCTCCCATGAATATTATGAAAGGTTTCTTATTTAAACTTTCCATATACAGTTGTAGACGAAAAAGCACCGATTATTAAGTGATAATAAAATTAATCAGAGATTATATACGCGCTTTTCTAAAATAAACAACTTGCAACAAAACCGCGGTTAAAACCAACGCGTTCAAGCGATTCGTGTAACTGACGTCATCAACCCGTGTGTCATTTGATTAATGTCACTTTTCAAGTTACGTAATACCCCTGCCGTTGTCGGTTTGACGCTAAGATTCACAGGAAGTGGGAAACAAATTATTTTCTGCCTCGTATTTAACCTCAAGCCACATGATTTTTGACGGTCTCATTATCAGCACTCAAAATTACCTTATTATAACAAATTCCATTCACTTGTAACTGACGAAAATGGATATTTCGCCTACAAAGTTCTATAGGTTTCTGATAAGGAAAACCTCTGCGTATGTGCTTTCCTGATGTTTCGTGGGTAAATCGGGTGCGTAGATTTCGCTAACGTCCCATTTCCACCTGAAATTCGGATCCACGGCAATTTACACGATTTTTTTACGGCGATTTCAAAATTCCGTGTCGTAAGCTACGTACCTATATGTACCAAATTTCTGTAACTTGTAACAAATGTTGGCGGAAATGGATTATCATAAAAGAAAATTTTCGAAAACCTCTACGTCCTCAAAAATGCATTTCCTGGATAAATCTCCGAACTCCTGAACTCCACATTCGTCATCAGTTTGAAACTAGGGCTCGCGGGGGACCAGAAATATATTGCCCAGATACTGTCGTACAAATTGGGAGCCTTGGTGGAAAAATGAATATCACTAACGTTATTTAGTATTTCTTTTTATTGCAACTTATAACAAAATATACCTAAAAAGTGGTATAACTAACATCAACTTATACCAATTTCTTTTTCATAGTCCTCATCGCTGATCTTCTTTTTCTTTAATTTCTTCAATGTTGCTATATCTCGCTTCAACTCATCTAAGTCTTCCTGGGTAATTCCTGAAAAAAATACTACAGTTAATTAAAAGAGCTATCAGAAATTCAATGTAAATTTTCTGAGCAACATTAAATGCATTTTTTCCATGAATAGTACTTCCCGCTGTATCTATTTTTATTTTATGTAATAATCACACCTCGTTTTTTCTTTTTGACGGGTTCGTTCTTCGCTTCTATCGCTTCCTTTCTTCTTTTCCTTTTAATTCTTTTGCTTTTCTTCTCCTCTTTCTTTTGCTTCTGTATCGACCACGCCTCAGTAGCTTTCTTGACAAACTTCTGTTTCTTTCCTCTCCATATACCTGTCGTCTTGTATTCTTCTAATTTCTCCAGTCTAATTTTTTCACGAATCTTATCTTTGTACGCCACTGAGTTAATGTCAAAGTCAGGCACCTCTGCGAAGTCTGTCAGGTCCCTGTTTTTTAATTCTGGCATTTTGGGGAGTTGTAGAAGGCCATATGTCGCAGCTACTGCCCCTAACGGTAACTCCTACAAGTAAAATGTATATACACGGTGACTTCGAAGTTGAGTCATTTATTTTAACAGTGAGTAGATCTGATCAAAAGAAATGTTTTTTTCCTTTAACATTTTTCTGGTAAAACTAAATTAACAAAGTTATAGCCCTTTAGAAGTTTGAGTACCGCCCTGTCTCAATAATAATATTATGTGCTCGTGTTTGGCAACAACGGATATAATCCGCCTTATCGGTTCATCGCATCGGAAACAAAAAAGCGAAAGAATTTGAAACGTTTATCACGATGTCAGTCAATGTGTCAGTCGGTAACGCGTGAGTGAATAGTGGTGTTTGTTGCGTGGCTCAAACGAAATAAAAAATGGCACATGTTTACGAAAATGCTGAACTTGTGGACATCCTTTGTTAATGTAGTACAAAGGGCTCGTGAATCAGGTGACTTAAGACCTCACAGGGGACCTCACGATCAAATACAGGTCCGCACTGAAATACTTGTCGGGAGGATACTTTATAAAACAAGGTAAAAAAATTTTTTAATTTTTTTTTTATTTTTACACACATATTTTGGTTTATCTTCCTTCTACAATCATTATCTGAAAATTAATGACTCAACTTCAAAGTATACGCGCTTTTCTAAAATAAACAACTTGCAACAAAAGAGATAGAGGACTATTTTTTGCCGCAACTTGAAGGAATGGATATGGACGATGTTTATTTCCAACAAGACGGTGCAACATGCCACACAACCAACGTCAATATCCATCGATTGCAGTCCTTCTTCGGTGACCGCGTGATTTCGCGCAGAGGACATGTGCCATGGCCACCAAGATCGTGCGATTTGACTCACTTGGACTTCTTTTTATGGGGATATTTGAAAAGCAAAGTCTACGTCAACAAACCAGCCACCCTCCAAGAACTCAAAAACAACATCATTGCCGAGATAAATGCCATAGAACCGACCATGTTGCAAAATGTCATTGAAAATTTCGACCATCGCGTGGACGTCTGTAAATCCAGTCGTGGTGAACATTTGAGCGATATTATTTTTTATACATAAATGGTATAAATGAACCTTCAAAATAAAGTACCCAACTTGATTTGAATATCAATCTTTCTTGTTTTAATATGCGTTTACTTTCCTGCGTCCGTTTTGGACAACCCCATATTATTTATCATTAATAAAGATCAAATTGTATAAAAAAACAGATACCTGCAGATACAAGCGGTCGGATCTTAGACTATTAGGAAAGTGTTCATACGGAGTATCCGTCGTCAAAGTACAGCGTTGTCAGATGGGTCCCTAGAAGTGATTTCCCCCAGAACATTATACCCCCAAAAAATTCCCTAAGTAAAAATACCCCAAATTTGAAGGAAAATCCCTCAACATGGCAACCCTGTTTAAAGCACCACTGTTTCTCCTGGTATATAGGCTCCATGGTACCGATAAATTTAGGTCGATTTGAGGTTAGCAACAACTTGATCTGACAGCGAAATATTTACACTATTGCCAAGCCTCAGTTGACCACACAAAACTCATGAAACTGAGTAATTTCAGCTAAGTCCTGAAAACTAGAATAGCTTACCTTTACTCTTAGTATCAACGAGCATTCATGCTTGGAATAAGCCCGAACGTGTGACACAAATGCTTGAACGCCTTTTTCCATAAGTGCCCTATCCCTTTTTGCCATGTTTCTTACTCTTTCCCTAAGTTCTATAACCTGGAATCACATGAACCAGAAAAACTCTCAAAATGCGCGACACCATGTTATGGGATATGAAAAGATTCTCAGAACAAAAACTATGTGTCAGTTTAGAATATCACTTATCTGACATAATCTACTCTTTTTTTGTGGGAAAATAGGTTACCCATACTTTTTCATCTGTGGCCGTGTCTTCACAACTAACCAAGTTCACTCTCTGATTCGTTTGGATAAAGTTCACATACGTCTCTTCATTCTCCAATAGAAGTATAAGAGAAGAACCTGGTTGACCTTGTCTCGCAGTTCTGCCAACTCTATGGACAAATGCTCTAGCACTTGCAGGCGGATCCCATTGTAATACCCAATCTATCTAGAAATAGACTATCAGGAAACTACTTTCTAGCATTAACATATTTTCCGAGAAGATGCCCAACCATATGCTGTATTTGAACGTTCACTATTAATTTCCACGTCGTTAACATTCATGTTGCCAAATAAAATCCCAGTAATACTTTCAGAAGTAATAAAAACAGACCCTATTTTCCTATTAGAAAAAATTGTTTGTTCTTAAAAATGTCATCAGCCTTCCAAGGAAAGATCACACTTCAACTTCTCTCGGAAACATTCCTAAGATTACATCGTCCCGGAATTTGTATTCCCTACGTCAATGAAGTATTGTAATAAGGAAACATTTTGAAAATGAGATATCATGTTTTCAATTCAATATCATATATCAAAGATTTCCCCATACATTTGCACTTAAAAAGTGAAATACAGGGTCCGGCAATGAAACGGGAAGATTTGGGGTGGGGCTTGCAGCGGGCGGTGAAGTGGTAGGGAGGACAGTCACAGACCTGTCGGGACCCGAGTGGCTTACCATTTAGTCTACAATGGAGCGTTGGACGGGTGAGCATCGCGGTTACGCAATTAAGGCTTATTACCAAAATGGCGAGAGTTTAGTGCAAACGCGTCGAGATTTTAGACGGCATTTTAACATACCGCGTAACCAACCGGTTCCGTCAGACCATGCGATTCGAATGTGGCTAAACAATCTCGAGCAAACTGGATCGACGTCTAGAGAAAGAGGTGGTAGTGCCAGAACGATTCGAACCCCTGAAAAAATATTGAACGTGTTCGACAAGCCATTTTAAGAAGTCCACGTCGATCGGCCATCCATCACGCCACACGCCTTCGATTAAGTGACAGATCGGTGAGAAGGATTCTCCATCAAGATCTTCGATATCACCCGTATAAAATACAGGTTGTTCAATCTCTTCACCCGGATGATTATCAACAGCGTCTCAGATTTTGTGAGGTTATGCTTGCAAGGCTGGAAGAAATTGATGACCAGGTTAACAACTTGTGGATGAGCGATGAGGCACATTTTCACCTCTCCGGTTTTATTAACAGACAAAATTTTAGATACTGGGCGGAGGCTAAACCTCGTATGCTTCATTAATCACCTCTTCATGCTCAGAAAGTGACAGTATGGTGTGCAACGTCTGCAAATGGAATCATCGGTCCGTATTTTTTTGAGGATGAGGCTGAAAATGCCGTTACCGTTAATTCCGAGAGATACGTTTCAATGATTCGGAACTTCCTCACACCTGAACTCTACCGCTTTCCAGTTAATGAACACACACTTTTTCAACAAGACGGTGCAACAAGCCACACTGCAAGAATTTCGATGAATGCGGTGAATGCTTTGTTCCCAGGGCGTGACGTTTCTCGAAACGGGGATGTTGCTTGGCCCCCTCGGTCTCCCGACCTTACTGTCTGCGACTCCTTTTTATGGGGTTATCTGAAAATGAAAGTGTTTGAAACTGATCCACCCAGGACAATCCCGGCCCTCAAACAACGAATTCGTGACGAGATTGCAGCAATACCTGTTGATATGCTGCGAAGAGTTATGCAGAACTTCCAGGCTCGACTCCATGAATGCATACGTGTCAACGGAGGCCATTTGACAGATGTAATTTTCAAAAAATAATGTTTTTTAACATTGTATATCAAATGGCTACTCTTTTATTTCCCAGTAGGGTATTACTAATTACAAAAAAAAATATTTTTTCGATAATAAAATTATTTACGAAATCTTCCCGTTTCATTGCCGAACCCTGTATAAACATATATCTTCGTGTACGTATGCTGGACAACTCAACGAGCGCGCGCCTCTTCTTTGGATGGCTAGGGATTACTCCAGTGAATTGTAAACGTACCATGCGAGGTTGACAAAAGTTCCGATTTTTCATGTTATTGGAGCAACCACAGGCGAATAGAGGTACGAAAATTTATCGACCGATTGCTCGTGTTTGTTTTGACACAACGTAAATGAGATTTTAATAAGATTTTCAACTAGAATTACCTCGGGTATATCAATACCTCTGGCCATAACATCAGTACAAAGTAGTAATCCTTTGTTTGCATTTCTATATTCTTCTACAATACTGTTACGTTTTCCTTTCATTTTTCCATGAATTGCCAGTACAGGTAATTCTAATTTCTTTGGTATTAGGTGTGGTAGAACATTTGACCAATAATCTACACAAGCACATGTTGGCAGAAACAGCATTGCCTTTTGAATATTTTTTGCTTCAATAAAAGTCACCAAACTCGCAAGTTTTCCTAAAAAAAATAATAATCTCAAGTTGATATAGACAAGAACTAACCTTTTCCAAAGGTCATGATCAAATTTCAAGGACATATATTTCCAGACAACCCAACCTTCAAACATTTGACCAATTGCATTTTTAAAGAGTAGAATAGATTTAACTCTATATCTTCAAGTTCCAAACATACATTCATATGTATATAATCATATCTTACAGTCAGAGTTAGATTCAGTATACCTGTAAAACTTTCAACACCTACCATCATTTTTTGACAATATATAGTAATTGTTGAGCAACTCAGGTGTATTTTGTGTGGCTTTTGCAGACACACTTACTAGTACTGGATTTCTCAGACCAGCTCTGATAAGGTCTTGCACCTCTTTAGTCTGGGTGGCTGAGAATAGCCCAGTTCGTCTTTGTCTGGGTAGGTAACTCAATATTGTATCTATGGATTTTTGGAAGCCTAGGTCTAAAAGTCGATCTGCCTCATCCAAAATTAGGACTTCCTAAAAGGAAAGGATAAATAGATAAGTATAGGAGTTTGATCACTCTTGCACATTGTGCATTTTTATATACTTGAACCAACATGTAGGCCAAGGGCATAATACCCATGGGTACCATGCAGCTATAGGGGGAACAGAGTAAAGGGGGGGAACTCATGTGGACCTCCAAATTTAACAATCTAAAACCATCTAAGTACCCCCAACAGATAATTATGACATCCAGAGCCAAGATAAAAATTTGCATATCATTTCAGACTTACAAGTGTTTTGCAATGGTTTGAAAGGTTCAAATCCCTTCTGGTGAACAAATCTTCTAGTCTGCCTGGTGTACAGATTAATATGTTGCCACCATTTTCTTTGAAAGACCTCACATCTTCATCTACACTTTTTCCACCAACAATTACAAGTCGGGTCAATTTCTAAAAATTCATGTATTGAGTAAGAATCAGATTTTGGTACAATATAATTCCTACAGATATATGTTTAAGTAGAACATCTAAAACATCTTTAGTCTGAATGGCGAGCTCTCTTGTTGGAGATATGACTATAGCACCAATCTGGTGTTTTTGCCATACTGATTCAGCTTCTTTCCTCTTTAGAATCTCTAACAGTGGTAGCAAAAAGGCCAACGTTTTTCCAGAACCTGTTAAAAATACAACAGGTATTTCAAATTAGACAATTATATGAGATCTCTGTTAGTGTTAGAAGTAGAGCTACAAATATAAGAAAAGTTTCAAACCTGTGACAGCTTCTGCAGCTACATCTTTATTTTTAAGCATTAATGGAATCGTATATGCTTGTACAGGAGTCATAGTAGGAAAACTGAAGGCGCTTATCCCATTCCTAATTTCCTCATGTAGAGGAACTTCTAGATCACTCCAGGCTCTAGGCATGATTTTTGGCACTTACGTCTGGATATGTGAAGTGGAGTCAACTTTGCCTCATTTAGGCATTTAAATACAACAGAATCTGTATTGTTTTAAATAAACTTTTTATCTTCAAATTTTCAAATTGTGTTGTTGAACATAACCTCAATCTTTGACATCTGTAAAAACAACTTGAAACTTAACCTAAGAAACTGGATTGCAAGCTGGTAACAAGAACATTTATCGCAGAAATCTTGCAAATTTAAGTAAAATCAATGCAAATGGATTACCGAGAAGAACAAAAAGGCGAGATAGAAGCTTTAGAATCCATATACTATGGCGATTTCGAGGTGCTAGAAACGGAACCCTACCACAAGTTTGCCATTCCAATCAAATCAGAAGAGTTTGAACCAGGTTCAGAAGAAGGCCTAGCTTGTAATTTAGTTATAACATACACTCCTAAATACCCAGAGGAAGCACCTATCGTAGAAATAGAAGACGCTGAAAACTTTGGGGAAGGTTATGAAGACAAGCTGTTGGAGTACATTGGAGAACAAATTAAGGAAAATCTAGGTATGGTGATGGTTTTCACAATAGTATCGACAGCCCAAGAGTGGCTAAATGAAAAATGGGAAACTATGAAAGAACAGAAAGATGAAATGGCAGCACGAAAACTCAAAGAAGAAGAGGAAGCAGAGTTGAAACGTTTTGAGGGTACTAGAGTTACAGTTGAGACTTTCATGAAGTGGAAAAAGTTGTTTGAGGATGACATGGGTATCACAAAGAAAAGAGAGATTGCAGAAAAGGAAAATAAGAAATTAACTGGTAGAGAGTTGTTTATGAGAGATAATACATTGAATGAATCTGATCTGAAATTCTTAGATGAAGGTGATCAAGTGAAAGTGGATGAATCACTGTTTCAGGATTTGGATGATTTAGATTTGGACGATGAGGATGATGGAGATTTTGACCCAGATAACTATAATAGTGACAGTGGGTCATCAACAGCTTAATTGTAAATAATTTATTTTTATTTTTTGTATAGGCCTTTATATATAAGAAGTAAATTTTCTGATGATAATTTTGTATTATGAATCACCATCCCATAAATTTTCAATGGGGTTTATATCGGGAGACTGTGAAGGCCATTTGAGAACTGGTATTTTTTCATCCAGAAAGAATTTCTTCGCGAGATTTGAAGTGTGCTGCGGGTCATTATCTTGCTGAAAGATTGATCTCAAGGGCATATTGTCTTCCATATAGGTTAACATGACATACTTTATTTAGAATGTCTGTGTATACAAACTTATCCATAATGCCATCTATTCTATGTAAAGGCCCCATCCCAAACCCACGAAAACTATAAGTAGAAGATTAAATGATAATAATAATAGCCAGGTTAAATAAAGGCTATTATTATTATCATTTAATCTTCTACTTATCGTTTTCGTAGAAACACTGACACTTTTGTTTCGATTTCGGCTTTTATTTGTCTTAGGGTTTTAAATGGATCTGGACGAAATTACTTTTATTAATCTAACTGATCTAGCATTTAGTTTTCTAGGTCGACCACTTTTCTTAGAGGCTTCCAAGATACCTTTGTGTTTATATTTGTTCAATATTGCCCAAACTGCTTTACGCTTCAGCTTCAAATTTTTGCCAATGTCGACTTGACGTTGACCTTCTTTGTATAACTCAATGATCTTAGTTTTCACATCAAAAGAAATTTCTGGACCACGATGCATGGTCTTAAAATCACCCAACTTATTTCACAATACTTGATGAACACAAACTACTCCTCTTCTAACACGAAACTATACTAAACTAATGTTGAAAAGAATTTGTCCCCCATAAAAAAGTGCTTATATTCAGACTTGTATTGTAATCATTGCAGATAATGTAAAAACAAGGAATTTAATTTTTCTACTAATAACGCATTTGTTTATGGAGCAATGAAGTATGAATTCCTTTTCTAAAGGTATTTAGGTAAACATTCATATTTGTCTATATACTTTTGTCCATTACTGTAGATGGAAATGACGATCACCACCTACCGGTGGTTTGACCAAGCTGACTTTTATCATCATCCACATGCAATGTCATCATTATGCACCCTAGCTCATACCGTTTGACATTCAGTAAGTCCAGACATGTCACACTGCACCATCACAGTCAAGAAATGTCCTTTTCTGCAGTGAGAATAGATAGATAATTTTTTATTCATTCATAAGAAAAGGCATAGAACATTGTTAAAAAAAGTGTACTACTAGCAATCTAGAATTAATTATATAAGAAATAAACAATTACATTATGACTGTCAGATAACGGCAGATTATCGTGGAGGCGAACTTGCATTAGAAAACGCGTTTTTTGGGACTCCCTGTGGCTGCTAGCGTCAACTTATGTCGGTTTCGGAATATATGCACGCGATTTACCCAAAGATTGAGCCTTCATAGAGATCACAAATAAGCAGATTTTTTGAAAACGTTCTCACGGTAAACCTAAAAATAACAAAAGATTTTGCAATGTCTAAAAAATTCGCCTGCTGTTGTTAAAAGCAAATGATGCTCAGGCGCTGAATTTGAATATAACGGTAAAAAAATCGTGAAGTGTTGCGGGGTCGAATTTGAGGTAGAAAATGGTTTCCTGGGATCTCCTGTTAGCACCATCATGTTGGATTAGGTATTTAAGCACTCAATTTGTCCACAATATGAGATCTCTTCCAGCAGGGTATTACGTAAAAAATCATTATAAAGTCATTAAGAATCGGTCTGGTAGTCGCTGTGAGCACCACCCAAGGACGAATGGCACAACAGCTTGAAGTATAGTAGTTGCAGCTTGAGCTGTAGAAGCTATAAATGGCAGCCGCTAGTGCCATCTCGAAGCAGATTTCACACCACATTAGAGCAAAAGCATATAGTTCAAGTGCCATGACCTTTAGGCAACACGCAAAGCTACTACAAGTGAACATGAAGTGAATGACGGCTTGTTCCAAGGTCACATTTTTTCAGAAGAATCCACATGCCACATTTTAAGTTACATAATGCGGATGCATATCACTCTCTCTATACGTCATTGTGTCAGAGCGGTCCGTAGGACCTTGGCTCTTGGTTGAAGTCTTGTAAGTCAGTAGGTCTGTCAGGTCTGGTTGCCCAGATACCAAAAAAGTCAGGGAGAAAGAAGGGAAGAAGAAAGGAAGGAAGGAAAGCAAAGAAAAAAGAGGTGCGTCAATTTGAGAGGCGCCTTGGCATTGCTAATTAGTATTCGGCAATTTTAAATTGATCCTAAAATTAATTTTGGGATTGATTGTTGAAGAAATATTATAATTTTGGTTGGACCTAAAGTCGCACGATTTAATTTTGTTCATAGTGCGAGTCCCGGCCTTGTGTGCTTGCGAACTTGCTCGACTGTGTAGCCTACTGACTCACGCAACAAAGGGTTGTTATGCGATTCCGCTTGACTATAACGTAGCTGCGCTTGTTGTTTGATGTATCCCTTAGGTAAGGGATGTCAAGGTCTCTGTGAAGGGTCTCGTTGGAAACATACCATGTGGCGTTAGTGATTGTTCGCAAGGTTGTTCTACAAAACCTGCAGGCTGCGCAAATGCGTTTTGGCGAGAAAACACGAAGTCGCACTTGCGTAAGTGATCGCTGGTCTAATAACCACCTTGTATAGCCGAACTTTGTTGATCAACCTTAATTTTGATGTTCTACATAGCATAGGGTAGAGTTGCCGAAACGAGATTTGGAATTTAGTTCTTAACGCTTCAGTGTGCTTCTGCCAGGTCATTCCATTGTCAAGAGTGTCACCGAGATACTTAGCAGAGCTTTCCCATGGTAAGCGAGCGCCATTCACTGAAACCTCAGATGGGGCGCAGCTACGTTTTTTAGTACAGTAGATTTCCTGCGTTTTCGAATGATTAATGTTGATCAGCCACCGATTCGCCCATTCCAGTACCTCATCCACTGCACTTTGCAGCCTGTCGTGAACTAGATCCCCAGAGCACGACTGGGCCACCAGGGCAGTGTCATCAGCATAGAGATAGATTTCACAGTTGCTGAGGCAAGGGACGTCATGAATAAAAAGTGAGGACTGGTCCAAGAACCGAACCCTGAGGGACACCGGCTTTGATGGGCCGTGTTTTCGACAGAACGTTATTAATTTTGATCCGGAATTTCCTACCCTCAAGGAAGGATTTCAAAAGTTTTAGGAGCCAGAAGGGGAAGCCCTTATGGATCAATTTGTAGAGAAGGCCCTTGTGGCACACCTTGTCAAATGCCTTTGAGACATCCAGAAGCAAGATGAGAGTGCTTTCGTTACGCGTTCAACAAGCCTTATGGCCTGTAGTTCCGCACTATGCTCAGAAGAAGCAGAGAAGCAAAAAGAATTATTAGTCTAGAATTCAAGTGTTTTATAACTACAAATACCCTGCGAATCTCGCCTTAATGTATCAAATCCGCCTTTTTCCGATCTACTTTTAATAGTTGACCCCCAACCACACTAGCGCAGCCTAGCGGGAGCAAAATTTTGTATGTCTTTTCTATGTAATATTTTCGCTCTCGTCATCTGCTAAACTGAAACTGTATATTTAGATATTCTTCTATTGAATTTGAGAAAAAATGGCGTAGCAATTCAGCACTTTGGTTCAGCTGAAACATCCTAGATCCGGGTATGAAACAAGTATGGGATTCAAGCACTGTAAAACATTCATATAAATCAGAGATTTTTTAGGTAAGCAAATAAAACAAGAATTTCATAAACAATATTTATTTTTCAAATAATATAACAAAACTACCATTATGACACACTTAATCATATCTGAAACACTGCTCAAGAATCCTTTCTCATTATGCTAAAAAGATTATCTAGAAATACTTCCCATTAATAACGTACGCCTTGGGAATGCTGTTATATTACAAATTAAGTTTAAATTACAATTATTGTTAATAACCTCTCAATCGACGGGTACTCAACACAGACCAAAGAAAGAATCAATACAACCACAAAATTTTTCTGACAAAAAAATTATCACAGACACACTCAGCCTCTTGCTTAGATCCTCCCAAACTAAATGAAAAAAATATCGTCGCACGTCTCAAAAATATAAAACTCTGTAAAAATATCTTAATACAACCTAAACATTTTAGACAACAAGTATCTTCAATGTCACACAATCAGTATTTTCTGTGCTCAGTATTTACTGATGATTCCATCAGTGTCAGCAAATTCATATGTAACCTTATACATCAATAATTACTGGCGTCCTGGCTACATAGTGAGTAAATATCACATTGCACAATGTAACACCTGAAACCTACCCTGTGGTTTTCATGGTTTTTTGATCTGCATGCTACCAAAAAAAAAATCTTATGTTCTGCAGATTAAATATGTTATTAATAGGATTCCACTGCCGGACCGCCAAACTCGGACTACAAATGTTTCAATTACTGTTTATTGTATGACGTTTTGCCTACCACGGTGGCCTTTTTCAGGTACAAATGACAAACCAAATTTAAATGGAAACATTTTTCATGTGCCTTTTGATGTGCTTAATATTGCTACTGAAAGTACCTATAGAGATATTGTAGCTCGCTGCAGCGTTGCCGGATCTAAGAATTCTAGTAACTGGAGAATAATGTGGAATATCGTAAACAGTTCTGTATTGCCAGATGGTCCATACGTCGTACAATAAACAGTATCCGAAACATGAGTGAGTTTTTAGTGTGTGCTACACCGTTATTACACATGCTGTCTAGACAAGTTAATTACAACCCATGTACCCAACAGTAAGTATACTTGGAAAATATTTGTATTTTAACAGCGTGATTTATCACTACGTGGTAGCCCAAACATACATTTTTTTTTTAATTCGAAAAACCTACTTTGTCATACAAATTCCGAAAAAATCTAATTAAGAAAAAAGCTTGTCAAAAGGAGAATAAAAAAGTGTGCAAATATGTAGCGAGTTCCATTTGAACATTTTGAGAAATCGTTCATTTTGGGTCCTTGTACACCTATCAAAAAAACTGAAAAGTATGTAGCTACGAAAAATTCAGTTAGTTTCCTAGCTATAACAGTTGCGGAGGTGCAAGTTATCAAAGTTGTTTTTTTTTTGGGTATATTGTCCAATATCTCAACACCCTATAGTAATATCAAATTGCTTCGATTGAATGAGGTTATCCGAATCTGCAATTAAAAAAAAATGTATGTTTGGGTCACTAGGTAGTTATGAATCATCCTGTACTGAAATAAATATTTTCCAAGTCAGCAACATACTGTTGGCTCCAATTTTTCTGCTTAACGTTTTTAGGTATCTTCCATAAGTACTGACGGATCCCAGTGAATACTGACCTAACGGGATCAAGTACAAATCTGTCCAGTTTCAAAAATGGAAATCGTGTACGAAATCTTTTTTTATTTATTCAGATTCGTATTATGTTCATCACTGACGGAAATATGGGACGAAAGCCCAAAGTTCCATCATAATTTTGTAAAGCACTTATAGTGATTTAAAAATAGCTGATGTCAAATCTGATATCAAAGAAGCAAAATTAAAAGTGTAAAAATGTATGATTGTGATTTCTAGAAAAGGTAAAATTTTCATCTGGCGACTACGTCAAGTGTCGATTGTTCATGTATTGGGGTTTCCAAAATTCATTCATTCTTACAGTAGCCACTCAAATTTTTGCTGCAAGTAGAATTTAAGTAGTTATTTTATAAAATTAAAGGTAAAAATATATTAATTTATTGTTTAATGATAAATTCTATTCATGTTCATAATAATTCTATAATAATTTATTGTATAGTACGTAAAGTTCAAACTCCTTCAAACAAACAAAAAATAGTACGAAGACGTGCGACTTGGTTAAACTACAAGAAAATAAACCAAAATTTTACAAGAGCTATATAATATTGAGTTTGACCTTATGTAGGTGTATGACAAGCCTCGCAAACCAACCAGTACCGCTCAGTGTGATAAAAAAAACGCAAATTAAAAGATTAAAAAACAAATTGCAACACCGAAATTGGTAGATTTTAAATAAAATTGCTTTGTTGTGACGAATAAATTCATTTGATAGGTTAGGGAATATTCTTGTTAAGTTCCTCTTGATAACCTTTAAAGTACGATTTTAAGTTTGAATCCATTCACGATTAACCGCAAAAACCTACCATTCTCGAATAACGATTATATGAAATAAAACTATAAATTCCGGAGACAGGACAAGTTGAAACTCAGAATTTTATAGATACCCATCACAAATATATCGAAAACATAAAGAACGGAACATACAGTCAAAACACTAGGTCAGGACGTTCAAATTCGCCTGCTCCTACTGACCATGGCGCCATAAATGCCAGGGCAGGCAGCGACAAGCGAAAACATGCGGCGATCGAGCGCTATTTGTTTTGACGCGGAGTAAATAAGGTTTGATTGGACAGCAAAGTAGGATCGAATCTTATAATTTTATTGTCTACAACTTTTATGTGACACTTTTTTACGTATCTACGATAGTAGTCTCGATAAAAAAAAATCCTGAAACATTTCTAAAGTCGGTCCAAATTCAAGATAGAGTTAAAGATAGCAGAAACGTTTTTACGAGATTACCCAGTAACAGGTGGGTAGGGCGACTATTATTGGTCAATTCGATATCGATCGATTAATCTGCTGCCGCTCCGCCACTTCGTAAAATCCTCAATTTCATGAAATGATCGAGCATTTCATGAAACGTATCATTATCTATAGCCAGATCATGTGTGTTGACCAGATTAATGATAAATCTCTTACCGATAGAGGCGCTGGCAGCGCTTTATTTATATTTCAACAGGGCAGCCGATTTATTAAGTGAAAATTCCAATAATTCGGCGGCGAGCACCAACCAAGGGAATTCAAAACTAAGTACGTTGCTGAAAATATGTGAAATTGGCGACTTTAGGCGTTTTTTGTTCGGATTATGAGATAATATTCTTAATACTGAAGCTACTCAGCAATTTCACCACAAACTTCATATATTTCTAGCAACAAACTAACTTAGTTCTAAATCCTCCCGGTTCGTGCTGGCCACCCTAAAAGAGGAAGAAAACGACTGTACGACAAAAAGGTACTCGAGTTCTCGAGTATTATGAGGGTCACCGATCACACCGTCAGAAAGCCGTGGGTTCACTTGGTAGTACTCCACTCTTGAATTATTCTATATAAATGTAAAACTCATCTTCATTTTCAGGTTATACATCAAATAAAGGAGAGTAGGATGACCACGCGAGGTAATAACTTAATTTGTGCTGTCTGATTTGATCAAAAAAATTTCGTAACACTATTTGAAATTAAATTTCAGCAAACCACCTCAAGAAGGTTCTAAATTCGCCCAAAGATTCTGCTTTTAGAGTATCACATGCGTGGTACATAACTATGTTTACATATGGTCTCTATCGATTCTGAATGGACTGTAGATCGTTCAGGGTTTCATCACGATTTCGGTACTAAGCGATTCTGGATCAGATTACGATTCTCGTTGATACAAAATTTAAATGAGTCTATCAGTGATCAACATCAAAATAGGCGGCCGCATTAGGAAACCGTTCCGGAAGGAAGTCCTCGTTATCCCTAAGGTTAGCCTGTACTGTGGACCTTAGTAGGTTCCTGTAAGCCGCTTGGATTTCTGGAGAAGCGCCAGCTAACTGTGCCACAGTTTCCAATGGTGCTGCGGAGGTCAGGCCTGTAGAGGACACTGCTTGCCTGACGCTTTCTAAAAGAACAGAAATAGAATAAAACAGAATGTTAACGAGACAGTAATATCGACTGGTTCTACTTCCCAAACCTACTGGCGGGACAGTAGTCTCTCTCGTACACATTGGAAGCCAAGACCGAAAACGTACATGAATTTCATTGTATATAAGTTATATGTTTTATGCATTATTTCTGATACAATTAGTCCACTTTTAGTGCTTATTGGATATTTGGCAAAATTTTTCGACGAAATATTATTTTTTCTCCAAAATTACGTTTTCAGTGTTTTCACTTCCTTGCCCTCTATTCGTCGTTGTCTGTCAGAGCGATCCGAAGGACCTTTGCTCTTGGTTAGTCTTGTAAATCAGTAGGTCTGGTTGCCCGGATACCAAACAAAGTCTGGGAGAAAGAAGGGAAGAAGGAAGGAAGGAAGGAGGGAGAGCAAAGAAAAAAGAAGTGCGTCAATTTGCCTTGGCATTGCTAATTAGTATTCGGCAATTTTAAATTGATCCTAAAATTAATTTTGGGATTGGTTGTTGAAGAAAAATTATAATTTTGGTTGGACCTAAAGTCGCACGATTTCATTTTGTTCACAGTGCGAGTCGCGGCCTTGTGTGCTTGCGAACTTGCTCGACTGTGTAGTGTACTGACTCGCGCAACAAAGTGTTGCTATACGATTCCGCTTGACTATAACGTAGCTGCGCTTGTTGTTTGAAGTAGTCCCTTAGGTAAGGGATGTCTCGTTGGAAACATACCATGGGGCATTAGTGATTGTACGCAAGGTTCTGTTCTGCAAAAGCTGCAGGCTACGCAAATGCCATACTTGCGTAAGTGATCGCTGGTCTAATAACCATCTTGATTAGCCGAACTTTGTTGATCAAACTTAATTTTAATGTGCTACATAGCATAGGGTAGAGTTGCCGAAACGAGATTTGGAATTTAGTTTTTAACGCTTCAGTGTGCTTCTGCCAGGTCATCCCCTTGTCAAGAGTGACACCGAGATACTTAGCAGAGCTTTCCCATGGTACCCGAGCTCCATTTACTGAAACCTCAGACGGGGCGCCGCTACGTGTTTTAGTATACTACGAGTAGATTGCCTGCGTTTTCGAATGATGAATTTTGATCGGCCACCGATTCGCCCATTCCAATACCTCGTCCTCTGCACTTTGCAGCCTGTCGTAAACTAGATCCCCAGAACACGACTGGGCCACCAGGGCAGTGTCATCAGCATAGAGATAGATTTCACACTTGCTGGGGCACGGGACGTCATGAATAAAAAGTGAATAAAGGACTGGTCCAAGAACCGAACCCTGAGGGCACCGGCTTTTATGGGCCGTGTTGTCGACAGAACGTTATTAATTTTGATCCGAAATTTCCTACCCTCGCGGAAGAATTTCAAAAGTTTTAGGAGCCAGAAGGGGATGCCCTTATGGATCAATTTGTAGAGAATGCCCTTGTGCCACACCTTGTCAAATGCCTTTGAGACATCCAGAAGCAAGATGCCAGGACATTCGTTACACGTGAACCCCCTGGTTACTCGTTCAACAAGCCTTATGGCCTGTAGCTCCGTAATATGCTCAGACCGAAAGCCAAATTGCACGTCAGGAATCACATTGTGTTCTGACGAGAAATTTTCAAGGTGACGTAGAATCACCTTTTCAGCGAGCTTAGAAGGAGCTGTCAGTACACTAATGAGGCGGTAATCCTGGGGGAATATCGAACCCACCTTCTTCCACGCCATTGGGAAGTGCTGGGTCCTTAGAATGGCATTGATTATTGCCACGAGATAAGTTAAGGACTTCCGCGAAAGTAGCTTCAGCGCCTTATTAGTGGTGCTTTACGCACCTTGAGGTCTTTAATATGACCTTGAAGCTCTGCTGGTGTGCAATGCGGAGTCTCAGGAGATTCCGTTGATGTGCCATGTAGCTCTTCAGTTGAGGAATCTTCTGAAGATTCCTCTGAGGAAAAATCACTAAGGGAGGCACTACTTCCACTGACGCCGTTGGCCCTAAAATATCTCCTGACGGATCTTACAATATGTTGCTCCTCGTCGATGTCATTATCAAGGTCATAGTTGGGAGACAACTGACTTTCCATTGCATCAGCGAAAACCTCGACCCACTTCCTTGCCCTCCACAGTTCAAACGCAAAAAGTTCGTGCCAAAGCCGAGACAGTACTTCTAGCATGACGTAATAAGTTTTTCGGCGCTCCAAAACCTATTGGCTTTTCCTTGGGCGAGAAAAATAGACGATTAAAATTTCGAATAAGCTTCCAACACGTAGTCTAAAAAACAAAAATAAACTGCTTCATCCTTGAAAATTGGGTGTAAACAATTCATTTCAGTTACTAATTTAGTCTAGTTAAGGAATACCCCACTCCAGTCTTCATAAAAATGTTTCAGTATTTCGGAAATCAAATTTATATTAAAAACTTACCTGTGATAACTTGTGGAAGACTCCCATGTGGTTTTGAACTATTCACTATCTTCCTCCTTTTGCTGGGCATCCCTGACAGATATCCATCACTAAAAGGCCCTTGAGGATTTTGCCTTCTCTGCTTTTGGGCGTCTCTTGTTATTATAGGTACCCAGTCCTGCAACGTGAAAAAAAATTAAAAATTAAATAAGGTAGTGACTCCTGAGAATTGATGCATTCACAATCTTTTCTTGGATATGAAAATTCTGCATTCTCAACCCACAGATCAATTTGGCGTCAAATTCGGATGGAATATCAATTTAGCAACCTTCTGTAACAGGTCAACTTATTAACGAAACTTTGTAACGGCGAGTCAGTTTCTTTTAAGCAAGAATTTGACTGACCTCTGGAACTTGGGCATGCCATGGCTCAGATCCAATAATAACATTTGGTAGTGGTTCTGGATCTTCTATAATTTCCGACGTTGGGGAGCTGTACGTACTTCCTGTGGCTTCTGGTTCATCCAAGTCCATTGCCTGAAATAAGAAATGGCGTCAAGTAGGTCGAATCTGTACTTCCCACGCAATTATGAACGAATGAACTTTGCCAGCATGTGGAAGTAAAAAATGCACGGTATTAACGTAAATAATCAACAGAGAATACAAAAAAAAATCATGCTTATTCCCTATTGCGCCACGCCACCGAGTAAGTTATTTTTCAGAGACGTTTCACGATTCTATCCAAAACTGAAAAACATATATTTTTTGTATATAACTCACCTCAGCTACTTGTGGAGCACCGCGACTGCTGACTCTCTCTGTGGGAGCCGCTACTGTTCTTACAGGATCCGATCTTCTTACAATGTAGTGTCTCACAATACTTTCTGGTATATTCAAATTCGCGAAAAGTCGACGCAACTGGATCCGGCTGGTCATCAGCGTTAAATTCTGGAATTCTTGTGGATACCGAGGGATGATGTTAGACTGAAAATGAAAAAAACGATTTTTACTATTACAGAACTTAAAAAGGCCTCGAGGAAAAATAAATATAGGAATCTAATACTTAGAAGCCAGCGAAAGGTGTCGACGGATGCACTGCTTGTGGTGGCTGGTATCCCATTTGCTCGCTAAAGAAAGATCTGCGAAAAGACAGCGGAAGAGAGGCGCTCTTTATTAGATGGCAGGAGAGACGGTATGCAATTGGTAAAGCTGATCCCATATTAAAACTTGGATTGTCAAGGTGCGGATAGAACCAATACAGTATCGCAATTTACCGATAGGAAAACCAACTAGTGCAGAATTCAAGACTGCTGTGAACTAAGAGAAGTGAGATAAAAAACCTTCATTGGCTGCAGTGACTTCGGTCAGACGGCTCCAACAAAATAAAAGGAAGAGGAATGTGTGGTTTTTAATTTTCAAATGTCATAATATCTTACCACGATTTGCTCGAAGATTTGTTCAACTCCCTGTTGACCTTCAGTGCAAGCGTACAGGGCGAATGCCAGTAATGTCTTCACAGCCGTGAGGAATTCCTGGTGAAGCAACTGGAGAGTGGTACCGACGTTCAAAGACAAGATTATGGTGATCAAAAGCGGCAGACGATGTCTCAGAATCTCTTCGTAGGACCGGACTAGGTCGATATCGTCGCGTACTGGCAAAGTGTTCTGGAAGAGAAGAGGGGAATATTCGGATGTAGATTTATGTATTAATTAATTAAAATTGAATGTTAATAAATGTATACTGATCGAATTCAGGTATCATTGCCAAACGTTAAAAACTTGCTCGCAATTGTAAGCAATTCAGAATTTGTATGTATAAGACATTTAAAAATAGATGTATATGTAAGCGTGAAAAATATTGGGTCGATCTACCTAGTAATAATAATAAAGGCGTCTTTATTTGTTGCAATTACTTGGTAACAATGCTTTAGAGTTAACCTAATTGGCAAAGTCCAGCTTGGCTACTCTTACACTTATCCAAAAAGGGGTCGCGACGAATGTTCTTAATGACTTTAGCAAGGATGTCACAAAAATTTCGAATGGTTTTTCCTAAACAATAGTCATAAAAATAAAATCGTATAAATAGTTAGTAGAATATATTGCAAGGATAAGATATTAAGAGAAGAGTGATGTATAAAATGATATAATACTATGATGCAGTGGTGAGTTGAATTGTGAGACATGCATGAATGATTCAATTTTTTGGCAGAAAACTGAAGAAGAATATTGTTTGTATGATTATGGCAATTAATTATAAATGATGGAAGCATTATATTATAAAGCACATTTGAATAACATTAAGGTATCAGTAATTTTGTTTCTGATGATTCTGTTATGTATCTAATTGGTAAAAATAATTTTTGTTCCGGTTTTGACGTTATTAGTAATTTATGGATAAGCACTGAATAATGGTATTTTGCAAGGTCATTTATTCTGAACCACTTAAGTATATGGTATTTTGTAGATACATGATCAAATTTACGTAGCCTAAAGATAAAGGGGACACAATTGTTCTAATTTGGATTGTACGTAGTCATGCCATAAGTTCTGTCCCTCGTTTTCAAACAAGTGTAGACCTGTTAATACTTGTCCGATTGTTTACATTGTGGTGTCAGTTGATTAAGCGCTTTTCGGGTAATTACATATACCTCAGTTTGTATTGATCTCTCGAAGCATAACGATGGAGTGGGGCAAGGCAGAGAACCGTATTGCAGTGATAGCTTTACATAAGTGTAATCACAGTGCTAGTCAGATTTTTGAACTCTTACGCGGCCTTCAAATATCGCGTAAATTTGTGTCTAGGACCATTCAGCGGTACAATGAGACGTCCTCTGTTGATGACAGGCCAAGAAGCGGAAGACCTCGTCAAGTAAGGACTCCAGCAGCCATCAAAGCCGTAAAAGCCAGGATTCAAAGGAATCCACTCCGGAAGCAGAAGATCCTATCCAGGGAAATGAAGATTCCTGTCCGGACGATGTCGCGCATCATTAAACAAGACCTAGGGCTAGGGGCTTACCGGAGACGTACGGGCCAGCGACTTACGGCCACCTTGCGACACATCAGGGCGACAAGATCCAAGAAGCTCTTGGAGAGGTACGCAGCTGGGGGATTCCGAAAGATTTTGTTCACGGATGAGAAAATCTTTACCATAGAAGAAAAATTCAACCGACAAAATGACAAAGTGTATGCAAGGAGTTCACAGGAAGCTTCGGAGATCATTCCGAGAGTTGAGAGAGGCCACCACCCTGCGTCAGTCATGGTTTGGTGGGGGGTGTCCTACGAAGGGGTCACTCAGCTCCATTTCTGTAAACAGGGCGTGAAAACAAAAGCGGCAAACTATCAGAGCGACATACTGGATCCTATCGTCAAGCCTTTAAGTGGTACATTGCCAACCAACACTGGGTCTACCAGCAGGATTCCGCCCCCGCTCACAAGGCTAAGAGTACGCAGCGCTGGCTGGAAAGCAATGTGCCAGAGTTCATTGCTGCGGAAGATTGGCCCTCAGGGAGTCCGGACCTCAATCCTTTAGACTACAAGTTGTGGGACCTGCTAGAGCAGTTGGCCTGCTCCAAAGCCCACCGTAATATCGAGTCCCTGAAAGCGGATTTGATCCGATCAGCGGCAGCTATTCCTTTGGAAGCTGTGCGTGCAGTGATAGATGAGTGGCCCGCGAGATTGAAGCAGTGTGTGAAGGCCAAGGGGGGACATTTTGAATAAAACTGTTTGATTATGAATTCTAAAAATGTTGTCGAATAAATAATATCTTTCATATAAATATATCTTATCTTGTTTCATTTTTATCATGAGATTATCATGGGACAGAACTTATGGCACGACTACGTAAGTTTACCTGCATGGTTTAAAGAAAAAATATAAAATATCACAATAATTTAATATACAAAACACTAAGGCCTCAGTTAGTTTTTTTACGTAATTCAAAGTTAAGTTTGCTATCAAGGTATGTGCTTTAGATAAGTTTTTTGATTTAAAATTTTGACATGCTCAATGAATCTCAATTTGGTATCGAATTTTCACGGAAGCCTTTAACTGCAAAATTAGAATTTTCAGGTGAGACGTTATGCCTTTGTGTTCCAGCACATTATTTTGTTTCCACATTTTCAACCGTCTATAAGTAAATAATATACGAAAACACAATCGGAAACAAAATCTTGCCATTTCATTACTATAAGGTTATTCCTACCACACTAAAACCAGTACGAAAAACTTACGAAATGTTCCAATAATGGTCGCAGTTCAGCTATCAGTCGCTCCGTGGCATTTTGGATTCCCTCTGGGGTGGTGTCTCCATTGCACCACCGCGTTCTCACGAAATTCTGGACTTCGGGGATGTTCCTACGTAAAGGTTCGATGTTCCCGCTGCACAAGGTAAGCAGATCTCTGGAAAAGTGGACCGGGTCATGCATACTATTACTCCAGGCAATTTGGTATTTTTTATAACTGTCATGGATTAACCTATTCTAATCGTGTTCTGTGTGTGAACAATCACAATTTGTTGACACTTTTTTTTAAGTAGGTCCTTTTAAATATGTGGTGCTTCAGCGTCTTATCAACGAATTCACGGCGCTGCGCATGGTCCATTGGGTCAAGTTCTTGCGACGGTTGAACCTTGTACGCATACAGCCACACGGCGACGAACATGGTCTTCAAATTCACAAACGTGAATTTTGTCTCAAATTTTGTAATTAAACTGCGAACTGTCGACCCATTTGGTGCATTATTGCGACCGAAAATTGCACGTAATTTTCGAACTGTTTCCGCGTAATTTTCTCCATTTTTGTAGTGAGTTTTCACAATAATTAAACGTTGCTCGTTTGAATGACGTCTAATCGCGTGATCTGGACATGACAGCTGTCATCAAGGAAACAAGTACAAAAAATGGCGGCAAATTCAAATCCGGCGCTCTTGTTGAGACACCCTTTATACCAACGCCTTAAGACAACCGAGATACTAAGTTCCAAAAAACCAAAAACAAGCCATTCCGACCCTGCCTCCCTCCTCTCCTACGTCACAAAGTATTATGTTTTGTGGTACTATGACTATGCAAGTCAGTATCCAAATCTGGTGCCGCTTAGTGTGTAGGTTAACCTAGTTTATAAATAAACCACATTTGAAAACAGAACATTCCTACAACAATAACGTAGTTGCCGATTTGATGTTAGTTTAATGTGAGCGTCTTCAAGATCCTATTGATAGTCCGCGTGTGTGTTCGAGTATTCAGAACGTCCTAGCCGTCCTCGATGTTTCCATCAGAACTGCGTAGGTTTGTTTATACAGTGCAAGAGCCGTCTGGCTGAACACAGTAGAAGACCTAGACATGCCCAAATATTGCAAATTTAGAAAGAACTAAGCAAACTCGTGTTTTTGAATCGGACATCGACTAGCAATAATTACAAACAAAACATGTAACAGGGCAAGCAGTACTTAAAATGACGTGTCAAATAAATAGAGAGTATTTTTCTTCAATCTCTTTGTTACGTTTTCGGTGCTGTTTTACCGATTTCAAACAAACGTTGCTGTTCCTGAAAAGGAAAGTCTTTCCCGACACCCTGTATATTGTTCCTATTGAGAAACCCTATATAGCAAGCAACTACCAAACATTTTTGCGTTGTGAAGTTCATTGGAATAGTGTATAGTATGACCCACTTTTACTGGAGTAATATACTGTATAAAGTTCACGTGCTAATTGAATTAGAAATTAAAATCATTTTTTAACAATGTGTATATTGAGTCGCTTGAATAAAATTGTTAATTTGTCAAGTACTTTTCCACTTACACTAGTGTCAAATTTCGTAGGAACACTATCGGCAACTCGGTGATGAGGGTATCTCCTGTAATATGTTGATCCAACTGGAACGTTTGTAAAAGTTGATCTAGGGGATTGAGCCCTTGACCCCTGACGTTGCCTTGTTCACCTCCCAAACCCTGCAAAAAAAAGGATGGTGCTCAGGAATCGTCTCTGGTGTGTGTGTGTGTGTGTGGGACCCATTCAACATTTTTCAACGGCTGTGACATGCCACATTTTTTTTTTTATTTTTAAATTGATATTACTGCTTCTCATTTTGCTTGAGGCTTTTTTAACATAACAGGCGAATCGCATTGTAATCGCGATGTTCATGATGAATCATCCCAAGTCCATCAATCTGTCTGTCAGGCAGGGTTATTACGGAAAAAACCTATATATGTAATGTCAAAGAAAACGGATAAAATGTCGACTTGTTGACTAAATAGGCTAGTGTGCAAATAGTTCACTCCACGCTTGCTAAAGTGGACATAGAGTGAACGCCAGCTAGTTTCAAGTTGACGTCTTGTTGGAAAACCTACATAATATCAAAAAAAACGACATGTCACTTTTCAAAGTCTTAGCCTTTCTTCAACTCAGATACAGGGCCAGTTTTTAGTTTGGGCTTGGTGGATAACTCCGTTATTATGCATGGTTTTTTTTATACTCCAACTACCACGAAGGCCTAAGGCCTAAACACCCATTGGGTACCGTGGGGCTATAGGGGGATACAGGGGAAAGGGGGAACGCCACACGGACTCTGGCGAGGGAACACGTGTTGCATGCAACATGCACACATTCTGGCTCCGCCTACGAGATCCGCCGGGTGGTACCTCCACGTTCGACAGTCAGAGACCGTCTACCACCTACGGACAATCACAACATCCATAGCCAAGAGAAAAAATTTCTCCTGGGACGGGACTCGAACCCGCACAGCGCACGGCGACTGATCAGGAGACCGAAGAGTCTACTACTGTGGCCACCGCTGCTGCCTGTGGTGCGTGGTGTCTAAAAAAGTTAATTAACAAAAATTGTATCCAACAGTATACTGCATACTTGGAAAATATTTATATTTCTAATATTTATATTTCTAATATTTATATTTCTACATGGAGATTCATAACTACGTGGTGACTAATACATTTTTTTAAATGGAAAGACCTACATTTTATAGCAGATTTGGATAAACCCTTTTTCTGAAGCAATTTGATAAAACATACTATAAGGCTTTATTTTCAAACTATTGAGATATTGAACAATGTATGTCAAGTTTGATAACTCGCGCTCGGCAAATATTATAGCTAGAGTACTGATTTTTGCTAAAAAAATGTATGAACCCACATTTTGTCCCTATCTAACTGCTCTTTCGGTTTCTTGGATAGTTTATACAAAATGATCAATGAGGCAATATGATTTATTTTTCAAAATTGTCAAATGGTGTATTTTCACATTTTTTGTTTCCCCTTTTCACAAGTTTTTTTCTGATAGGGGTTGACTGCTTTTTGAGTTACAAAAAACACCTTTTCGACCTATCGACTTTATCGCACGAGTCTGAATTGATTCAATTTATTACGAAAATTCATTAATGATGTTCTATTACCAACTAAATGCTATTTTTTTTTTTTAAGGTATCGAGATATTTCTCATTTACCTTGAAATCTGATTTTAGGATTAGATGTAACTCAAAAACTAGTCCTACAAACTGCCATACACCTCATATCAAAATAAAGCTTGCAGGAAGGGTATTATAAGAATGCGAAAATATATCCATTTACAAACGTTGAGCAATCATTCATTTTGCGTTCTTGACCACCCTGTTAAAACATCTAAAAAACTTAAAAAGTGAGTAGATAGGAACAAAATATGGGATCACAACATTTACCATCTCTTGCAGTGAACGCATTTTTGTTTGGACATTCATTCATGGTGGGGATATTTTTCATGCGTTAGCAGTCTATGAAATATATTTTTCATTCAATAAAGTTATAAATCACACTTTTTGCGAGAGAAGTTATTCTCAAAACCTGTAAGTTATCACATAGCTATTTAGCTTCTTTTAGGACCCTTAAAAGGATATTACACGATTTAGTTTGGTAACAAAAGAGGCAGATCAGCCTGAAATTCAAAAGTATTCTGACCTCAAATTGCTTATTTGACCAATTGTAGGTCTATTTGACATTTCATTTGACTTTTTGACATAAACATCAAAAACCGTGGAAAAAAGTGAACTCCACAAGCTCAGAATAAATGTAGCATTTTCTTAACATTTCATGGCAATTTAATAACACTGCCTCGGTACATGCAAAGCCGCCTATAAGCGTATCGCCAAACCAAGATTGCTGTTTTTATTTGTAAACCAGTAATAGTTCAAGAGCCGACCGGTTACATATGAAATATTAAAAACTAGTCAAATCTTATGTAAACCGGGGCTGCGAGCATATAAATAAATTAATTGAAAAAAAGGGATATATCCTACCACTCCCCACCCCCTATTTTTTCACCCTTAAAATTCATTTAAAAAATTACCAGTATCCTCTGAAACGCCATAAAAAACAAAGTTTGAGCGATTTTTATTTTTTTCGAGTTTGACCGTTTTCTCCACAGCTACTGGGTCGATTTTCAAAAACTTTTTCGTCTCTCGGCAAAGGAGTAGCCATGTGTAAAAATTCCAAATCTGAACAGTCCCTCCCAAGTTAAAGACGGGCCTAGGATTGGTGGTCAGACAAACAGACCGTCGGAAATAAATGACATGGTTTTTCGTGACGTACATGTCGTATGTCTTCCAAAAACATATCTCATTTTCAAATTTTTCGCGATAGTAATACTTCCTCGCACAGTGGCGCAGGAAATATATTTTTTGTACAAGTTAGAAATTCAATGCTAGGGGTTGTAGAGGGTATATATCAATTTTTTAACGTGATCCATTGAGCGTGTATGCATCGCCGTGCTGCGTTGCGACGTTGCTGGGTAGTCGGTGCTGTTGGTAGGGCGGTAGGTCGCAATGTTGTCAAATCGGTGGAGACTATGTACCAATTACATGAACCTGTTTCACTGACATGATCCAAATAATTCCTTTGTCATACATGTTCGTAGCCAGGTGTTTTGGGACTAATTTGTGCCTAACATAATCCTTTATGAATTGATTGACGCCATTTTATTTGGTTCTTGAATCACTGTGCGCCACCAAAAACAAAACAAGAAATACCTGAAACAGGGAAGCAAGCAAAGGGATCCCCTGTGCCGCAGCCTCATTCGGTGGTCCATCCCCTATGTTGGCAGAGGCTGTCGGTGGGGCCGATGATTCTGTCGGCTGTTGTCTGATCGAATCGAAAATTCCAGTCATCAAGCTCGTCAAGCTGTGCGCCTGGAAATTCGCTGCTGACGGTCTTTGACCAGTTGGTGGCGCCGCTGCAGCATCCTGGGCCGAGGCACTGAAATGAAGAGACAATGTTAAATATGGACGGGTGTTTAAAAAAAACAGTGGCAACAAGTTGAAAAATAAACAGGAGTTGATTTTACTCCAATGTCTCACCGCAAATCCAATCCACATATGGTTAAATTGTTCTTTATTGTACGTCGTACAATTAACAGTAATTGAAACATATATATATATATATATATATATATAACCAATTTGGCTTTCAAAAACAAACAAAAAACGCAGATGCTATTTTCACATTACAATAACAGTTATACTCAAATTTAAGCTATAAACAGATTTCAGCAATAGCTCTTTTTTGTGACCTTTCCAAAGCATTTGACTGTTTATATCATAATATACTATTGAAAAAATTAAACAACCATATTTAAATAATCGATCCCAAACTGTAAAAGCATTAGGATATTATTCTTAAAATAAATAAATAAATAAGCATAAGGCAGGGGACCTCCAGGATCAGTACCAGGTCCGATTCTATTTTTAGTTTATATTAACGATTCAATAAATTTAAACAAACGGTAACATAAATAATTTTTGTTGATGATTCCAAATCCAAAATCAGTTTGCCGTTGGAGACGACAATTATATTGAAAAAATAAGAAAATTCATTGGACTCGCCTAGTATTAGTAGAAGCACTCGTGGCTTGTTGAGGTGTCTCAGTGGCCTGCCTTTCCTGAGCTTGCTGAGGCTGTTGCGTTGGCGGCCTCCTCCTGGCCCTGGAGATATGATGCGAGTTGCAAGGCAGAAACGGATCAAATCCGGCTTGAACGGCTTGTTGAGCCAGATGGACGTGAGGTCGAGCCGTTGACCTTGTGTGGGTTGCTGTTGTCGGTTGAGTCTGCGAGGTCCCACGAGCCTGTGCAAATGATATTCCAAAATAGAGGGCGAGTAACAAAACAGTAGCATTATTTATGGGACAGAAAGTACATCAAAAATTATACATAAATCAGTTTAGATAAACATGCGGTGTGAAACATCATATTACGAAGATATTGGATATTGTTAACGACACTAGCTGGGGATAGATTTCCTAGAAATAATCTCATTGCGCGATGGTCTTACATACTGCATGTGATTGTTTTTTTAACCACTTTAAGTCGATATTTTTCACGGTAATCGAACCTGAATGTCATGGTATGCAAAAATACTTAACGTGACCTTCAAAGTACTCACTTGAGTATTCTGCCCTGGTTGTTGAGCCGTTGCCTGGCCTTCAGTAGACGCGGCAGTTGATGCCGTCGCGGTTGATGGAGCCTGAGCATTGCGAGCCATGATATGACTCGCCATCTGCATTAGAGACTGCAAGAACTCGGTCGGGGGGCCGTTGAGTGACTCGCGGATTACTGTAATCATTCATAATAATATAGGTTGAATCATCTAAATTACAAAAAAAAAATATTACCAGTATATTAGGGACCCCCACAAAGCAAGACAAACAAACAAAACACATACCTACACCACAGAGTTCACAAATTTGACTTCAAAAGCATTTTCCAGCTAATACAGTAGCGGACAAAAGTTTGGAAACATTCTTAGTAATTTTTTAAAAGTGCGCTAATTTTTTATTCTTTATTATTAATGACTATTTTTTTCCTCATATAGTTGGCTTACACTCTAGAGGATATAAATGACAATTTGTGTTTGCTGTGGTACTACAGACTAGCACTAAAATACCTTCATATTATTTTATGACCAAAAATGAGACGACAAAAGTATGGAAACATATTTTTTGCAAAATTAAATACAATAATTCTACAAGATTTAAAAAATACTGTTTAGCAAATATTTGGTAGCATAGCCTTTAGCATTCATCACTGCCTGACATCTGCTGCTCATAGAAGACACCAATTTTTTTGCAGATGTCTGTTGGGATATTTTGCCAAATATTTTTTACACAACCAAATATGTCGTTCCTAAGTTTTTCTTGTCAGTTGTCTTTTAACATGCTCCCAGAGATGTTCTATGGGGTTTAGGTCCAGGGATTGCTAAGGGCATGTGGAATGTCCATCGTAAAGGCATTTCTTCTTTATCAAAAGGGAGCATGTGTTCAGTAAGAATATCTTTGTAAAGTTTTTGATCCATTTTCCCAACAAATTTAACAATTGGACCCGTTCCAGAACTAGAAAAACAGCTCCAAACCATGATGTCGCCTCCACCGTGTTTAACTGTTGGCAACTGATACTTTTTGTCGAATCTTTTCCGTATTGGACGTCTCACATATGCCGTACCGTCAGATCCAAACAAGTTAAATTTGCTTTCATCGCTCCATAAAACTGCATTCCATTGTTCTGTCCAAGTTAGATGAGTTTTAGCAAATTCAGTCCGAGCAACACGATTTTTTTTTAATAAGAGGCTTTTGCACCGAACGCCTACCAAAAAGCCCAAAATCCAGAAAGATTTTCGGCATCCTCTTCTACGATTCTTTTGTAAATCTGTGTGGTTATCATTCGAGGATCTTCATGGGTCAAATGTTTAATGTAGCGATCCAAAACATAGTCGGTTGTTTTCGGTCTTCCACAAAATAGTCCCTTTGTTCATTTTTAATCTTTGAGAAATGTCAACATTTCTGACCACACTTCTAAACAATTCAATAACTTTGTCTCTTAAATCTTTTAAAAATTCTTTTACTTTTGCCATTCCCACTGATGTTTCCGCCTAAATTCAAAAACGTAAGAATATTTAAAGCCATTCACCTTATAAATTATTTACAAACGCTTTCGAAAAACGAAATATTTATGTTATTAGGAGAAAAAACAACACACTTACAATCATTGGCCTGGTTAGAACCGACAACCGTAGTTTCCAAAGAGTCAATAGTAATACCTTCTGGGGTGACTTCCATGATAAATTCCACGTTCGGATTGCCGAGATTGAAGCTGGATCCTCCACCGGAAGCTGTTGCAGTTCCACCTCCCTGTAACGAATTATAGCAATTGAAGACAGATCGTTTTGAATGCTATAATTGAGCCATTGAAAGCCAGGATGGTCCAAGTCACAAAAAGACGTTTCCGAGATTTAAGGCTTTAAAGTTTAGATGCGGCTGATAAATGTAGAATAATAAAACTGCAGCAAGAAATCAAAATACCCTTAAAGGTAGAATCAGTTTAAGTATCTTATCATAAAATACATGAACATTTTGTGTTCATCTGTTTTTTTTCATATGTTTAAGCTTTAGCCCACTCTGCCTTAAAACGGTTCTTACCTTTGGTTTCATACTTGTATAACGATTATAGTAAAGTAGAGTATTAGAGTTACACAACATTATGTGAATTGATAATTTTATTACAAAACGACAGAAATCAGTCTCCATACAGTAAAAAAATAATGTATATTTTCTACACAAAAACTGTACTGTACTGACACGACCTTATGGAATTTCTGGAAATTCTTGAGTCTGCTCGCCTTCTCCTTCTTCTTCTTCAGTAACAAGCAGTGGTCCGGTATCTGGCAAAGTTGCATCTGTCTTCAGATTCTTGAAAAAACTGTGATGAACTGGTGGTATGAATTGGAGAAGCTCTTCCATGATTTTCTTCTTTTTGTCGTTGACAGGAAGAGGGGATTCATACAAAGGAGGTAGGTTTATATGTTTGAAGTTTTTGGGTGCGCCTTTTCGATTTGGTAGTAAATTTATAAAATCATATGGAAATTCTTCATTCAAAGTTTCTTTATAAAAAATTTTGTAAGGTTCTTTTTTCTCAAAGTGTAGCCACTGGATCTGGAGCCATGATACAGTGGCATTTGTACCATTTTTCTTTCTTCTTGTTACAGCTTTCTCTAATGTTGTTGATGAGAAAAAATCAGACCGTTCCATCTCACAGTAAAAGGGTTTCCTGGGTCTGCATGTTCTTATTGTTGTATACCAGTCTTCTGGCACGTACTTGATGCTATTTTTTGCACGCTTGACACTTCTATTGAAAACCAGAGTGGGTTAAGTCACACTTGTCCCATTCTGCCTCATAACGCTTACAGCTTTCCATTGACATTTAAAAACAGACTGGTGCCATCTGTATGCAAAATGAAAAGATACATTTTTCAAAGCTCTCCCAGACAAAGATTCATCCATCCAGAACAGTATACACATAGAACTTCGATATCTGAAAATTTGGACTTGGACCATCCTGGCTTTCAACGGCTCAATTATTAGGAGTCAATACTGCTAATATAAGAGTATGACTGGTATCTTTCACAAATATAACCTACCTGTGCCTGCGTCCTCGCCCCTCCAGAAGCACCAGTTCCACCTCCGGCATTATTATTATTATTATTCTGCCCAGTCGCACCTGCAGCAGCTGGGGGCGGCCCCCCTGAGTGCACCGCCCTTATCTCCACCGGGAAAGACTGCACGCGCATCGCCGCCCCCGGAGGCAAGAACGGCAGACCGACGAAAGTATGGCCACCTGAGGGGGCGGTGGCTTGAGTGGGAGCAGCGGGGGTTGCGGTGGCGCCTCCAGTGGTAGGTTGTTGAGGGGCGGTAGAGTCCGATGTCTGGGAGGCGGCCGAGGATGCGCTGGGTGGGGGGCGGTCGGCTGATACGTTGATCTGGGCCTGGAAATAAAAGAGATATTACCTTAAAAGATCCCCCACTCCGACGCGGTAAGGCGATAGCAACGAATTCGGAACAGGTTAGGAGAAGCCAAGCCCATATGATGTTAAACGATTGTTTGTCAGCAACATCAACAGATTATTGTTTACACAAAATTTGACCTTGAACGAAAATTGTATACTTTTCCCCGAGTAGATGTCTGCTTTTATCGAGCTTACACTGCTTTTTACATAACATGCTACACTTCACCATCTTCGAGAATAGTCCAAAATGCTATATATTCCACTGAAACGTTTCAAAATCCTCAAAGCTCTGTGAAAATATCACGGAAAACACACTTAAGCATGACAAGATGAGCAAAATAAAACTTCCCCTCAATTGCACAAAGCCGTAGCATAAAACGGCAGAAATCAACCCATCTGTTGCCACCTCAGCGTTGCCACGTTTAGTACGCAAATATTAGTTTTTCAGGAAATATCAACGGGATGTAACAATACATACAGTAATGGGCAAAAGTAAATAGACAAATATGAATATTTACCTAAATACCTTTAGAAAACGAATTCATACATCATTGCTCCATAAACAAATGTGTTATTAGTAGAAAAACTAAATTCCTTGTTTTTACATTATCTGCAATGAACACAATACAAGTCTGAATATAAGTACTTTTTTATGAGGGACAAAAATAAGTAGACACATTCTTTTCAACATTAGTTTAGTACAGTAGTTTCGTGTCAGAAGAGGATTAGTTTGTGTTCATCAAGTATTGTGGAATAAGTTGAGTGATTTTAAGACCATGCTGCGTGGTCCAGAAATATCTTTCGATGTGAAAACTATGATCATTGAGTTATACAAAGATGGTCAACGTCAAGTCGACATTGCCAAAAATTTGAAGCTGAAGCGTAAAGCAGTTTGGGCAATATTGAACAAATATAAACAAAAACGTATCTTGGAAGCATCTAAGAGAAGTGGTCGGCCTAGAAAACTAAATGCTAGATCAGTTAGATTAATAAAAGTAATTTCGTCCAAAGATCCGTTTAAAACCCCAAGACAAATTAAAGCCGAAATCGAGACAAAAGGAATTGCCAGTGTTTCTACGAAAATTATAAGTGGAAGATTAAATGATTTGAAGTTATTTGCACGTCGCCCGAGTAAGAAGCCGCTAATCTCTACGAAAAACCGTAAGGACCGATTACAATTTGCACGGTTGCATCTTGATTGGAGCATGGAAGAGGGTATGTTTCAGTGACGAATCCAAGTTCAATATGTTTGGATCAGATGGTGTTCATTACGTTAGACGTCCTAGTGGACAAAGATTGAACCCCAAGTACACTTTGCCCACTGTCAAACATGGAGGCGGGTCTGTTATGGTTTGGGGGTGCTTTTCGGGGTTTGGGATGGGACCTTTACATAGAATAGATGGCATTATGGATAAGTTTGTATACACAGACATACTAAACCATGTCATGTTACCCTATATGGAAGACAATATGCCCTTAAGATCAATCTTCCAGCAAGATAATGACCCGAAGCACACTTCAAATGTCGCAAAGAAATTCTTTCAGGATGAAAAAAATACCAGTTCTCAAATGGCCTTCACAGTCTCCCGATATAAACCCCATTGAAAATCTATGGGAATACTTAGATAAGCAAATACGAGATAAAAATTATTCAAACAAGGATGAACTTTTTGCCGCTTTAGAGCAAAAGTGGAGACAGATTGATGAATCTTATATCAAGAAACTTCTACAATCTAAGCCGAGACGACGCCAGGCGGTGATTGATAATGGTTATGCTACAAAATATTAACACAAACATGGTTGGTTTTCTATAATTCAATGAGCTTAGCTTCTTTTTTCTATAATTGTTTTGCTTCGTCTATATATTTTTGTCCTTCATAGTTCCAGTTTTTTCAATTAATTTTTTATTGAAGGGAGTCTAATGAATTTATTTATGTATAAGTGAGTATTATGCTATAACTAATTATGTATACAGGTTGGTGTATTGATAACACAAGTTAAAAAAGAAATACAGCACAATGCTGAGTACGAAACCAGGATAAGAATAGCTCAAGACCTTTTTTTGAAATCGCTGTGATCTTTTTTTTAAAATTATTTGTTTTAATTTTTGCGAGTTCCGTGAAGTTTGTAGGTTTTGAAGCTATGATGACACTGCATCAGATAGTGGAAACACCGCAGAAAAGTGGTAGCCTCCTACCCGTATTCGAATTCGTTGGGCGATAGCGATAATCGCACCGATGTCATCGCGGTAAATAACACCGACCACACCAGCGCGGTGGTGTGGCCCGCGGTTTATCGCCTTGACAGCGTTTCCTTTCAAACACGCTGCTGGCACGGTTCGTATTGCATATCGCCGCGTTTTTCACGATGTCAGCAACCGAGAACATAAATGAACAAGTGAAACAGTATCCATTATTGTACGATTTAAGTCATAAAAATAGCCGGAAAAAGGATAAAGTGTGCGATTAACTATTATTAACTAACAATCATCATCCAAATACTTACCTTTTTCGCCTGTTATCTTCTGCTAAGGCCAATAATAATAATAATAGTTCTTCATCAGAAGACATATTTTATAAGAAATCAAAAAACGTTTGAGAATATCGCGCATACTGCGATTAGCGTACTAAATTTAGCACAAAATTTTGTATCGTGACACACAGCCCTAATGAAGTGTTTCGCGCAGGACAACTTGTCACGAAATGAACATTTTCCCTCATAAAGGATACGATGGAATAAATTAATACATTTTAGTGTTTATCTTACCTCCACCTGTATGGGTATGCCAGTTTGAACAACAGCAGAATGCTGTATCAGAATGGGCCTGCAGAGCAATGGACGGGGCGGCTGCGCTCTAACCGTTATCATGATATCACTCAAAGAGTGATAGGCATGTCCCAAAAAGTGAAGAACCTCAGAAACACGGTTTAACATCAGCTGGACAGTACGCTGGTTCTGAAAATCCAATAGTTATGTTATTTGTTTATTAAATACAGGGTGCGGCAGCAAAACTTCCTTTTTTTAAGACCTATTGCATGCGCATGTCTAAAGATTTGTTTTACATACTTTTGAAGATCAAATCAGATAGATGCACTGAGTAAACCAATTTCGGGTGTTTTTCATTACTCTTGCCAGCATAGCAGATGTCGTAATGGCAATTTCTTCTTGGATGTTGGTTTCAAACCTACTAGGGTCCTTGGACGGTTCCCATAAACACGGCATTTCGACGAACTCCATAGAAATAAAACCACACGGGGGCCAAATCTCGAGAGCGGGCAGTCCGCTCCAAATCGCCCCTAATTGAGATCAGGCAAACAACCATAGTTCCTTTTACATTAACTACCGATAGAGGTGCTGGGAGCAGTTTATTTACATTCCAACACGGCGGTCGTTAATAACAAAATAAGTTGTTTTTCGACGTGAACATTCCAATAATTAGCTAGCAACTGGGAAGAAAGTGGAACTAAAAGACTTTATTACTTAAGGGCAGTTGAGTTCTCTCTCTCTCTCTCCTATTATATAGCCAAAGTTATGGTTAAATATTACATTTTGCAGTGAATGGATCAATTTCGCTATTGGGGCGCTTCTTTAGAAAGCTTTTAAACTGGATTATAGATGAAGTTATTACTACATTCTCGCTTAGCCGATTCCAACTGTAAACCACTCGGTTTGCTAAGAATTTCTCCTTAGCAGTTTTGCACACGTTTCCTTACATAATTTGTATTAATGCCACCTAAGTTGACAATGGGCCCACAGATGTACATATGTTGCATTTATAATGTCATTTTATTATCAACACAATTTCTATGAAGTCCCCCATAGTCTTGTCTGGGCAAGAGTTTAAAGTTTGATTTTTCGAATCTTGTTTTATATGGTACTCTAGTCTCTCATTCAAGTATAATACCATAACAGGATCTCCATATACCTTGACCTTATTCAAGTAAGTAAGTAATTATGCACTGCTTGTACATTTTTGAAACTATGTCAATGTTTTAAGTCCTTGAGCCTTATACTGAGACTGACTGCATGAACTCTTTTTGCCCTAATGCCAATAACTAAAAAGGCTCTATTTTACTACTGACCTGTGGGAATCAAATTTACCGCCTAAGGCACAAATTTGACAAATAGAAGGCGTTTTTAAAGTAATGAATCTAATGAATATATAGTACTTCAAAAACGCCTACTCATTGGACGAATTCGTTCCATAGGCGCAGGATTAATAAGATCGAGCCTAAAAGCTCAATAAACAGAAACTTCAAATTATTTGTTATAATTACTCCCAAATCCCTTTGCTCAGTCACAGTGCTAACCTCATTTTGAACACTACAGTAAGAATGCTGAGGGTTATCCTTCCCAATATGAAGAATGGTACATTCAAGTACACTAAGTGGCATCTGGCAGGATGTTGTCCAGTTTACCATTGTTTCGATATCCATTTGCAAAAAATTGAAACCAGAAGCGGGTCCAATACCGAACCTTGTGGTATGCCACTTAAAACTTTACAGGAGGAAGATTTTAATATGCCCACTCTGACAGAAAATGAGAGCGACTTCTAAAGAAAGTCTGGTAAAAGAGATCCTCTAACTCCATAATGCTGTAATGTGTACTGTAACCTTTCAAATTGAACTTTATGTTTCACTTTATCATTGTTAATACTTCAAACGTATTCATTTAAAGGTATTATAAAGTGCCTTACCTCAGAAGATATTTCAGGGTCCTCCTGCATGAAACTCTGATATCTCTCAAGGAATGGAGCAAACCTAACTTGCAGCTGAGCCAATTGGGTCAACAATTCTGACATTTCGGATGTTCTTGAAGCATTTCTGTAAGAAAAGTCAATCTCAGGTTCTTTATAAAAAATCATAATGCTACAGATAATGTATAAATGCAAGAGGAAGTTTCATGTTGCCCAAAACATATACAGTAATGGGCAAAACTATATAGACAAATTAATATTGTACTGTATTTCTTTTTTAACTTGTTTATATCGGGAGACTGTGAAGGCCATTTGAGAACTGGTATTTTTTCATCCAGAAAGAATTTCTTTGCGAGATTTGAAGTGTGCTTCGGGTCATTATCTTGCTGGAAGATTGATCTTAAGGGCATATTGTCTTCCATATAGGGTAACTTGACATGCTTTAGTATGTCTGTGTATACAAACTTGTTCATAATGCCATCTATTCTATGTAAAGGTCCCATCCCAAACCCCAAAAGCACCTCCAAACCATAACAAACCCGCCTCCATGTTTGACAGTGGGCAAAGTGTACTTGGGGTTCAATCTTTGTCCACTAGGACGTCTAACGTAATAAACACCTTCTGATACAAACATATTGAACTTGGATTCGTCACTGAAACATATCCTCTTTCCAGTCACAGATGCTTCAATCAAGATACAAACGTGCAAATTGTAATCGGTCCTTACGGTTTTTTCTCGAGATTAGCGGCTTCTTACTCAGGCGACGTGCAAATAACTTCAAATCATTTAATCTTCTACTTATAGTTTTCTTAGAAACACTGACAATTCCTTTTATCTCGATTTGGGCTTTTATTTGTCTTGGGGTTTTAAACGGATCTTTGGACGAAATTACTTTTATTAATCTAACTGATCTAGCATTTAGTTTTCTAGGCGGACCACTTCTCTTAAGAGGATTCCAAGATACCTTTTTATTTATATTTGTTTTAATATTGCCCAAACTGCTTTATGCTTCAGCTTGAAATTTTTGGCAATGACGACTTGACACTGACCACCATATAACTCAATGACCTTAGTTTTCACATCGAAAGAAATTTCTGGACCACACGGCATGGTCTTAAAATCACTCAACTTATTCCACAATACTTGATGAACACAAACTAATCCTCTTCCGACACGAAACTGTACTAAACTAATGTTGAAAAGAATTTGTCCTCATATTTTTGTCCCTCATAAAAAAGTGCTTATATTCAGACTTGTATTGTGTTCATTGCAGATAATGCAAAAACAAGGAATTTAGTTTTTCTACTAATAATGCATTTGTTTATGGAGCAATGAAGTACGAATTCGTTTTCTAAAGGTATTTAGGTAAATATTCAGATTTGCCTATATACTTTTGTCCATTACTGTATAATGATAATTGCCTTTATTGGATTAACCACAAGGCGGAGTTCTATTAGCTGTGGCAGATGGGTAATTTGTGTGGTCCTTTCTGAAGAGAGGTGTATACATTACTTTTTTCCCAGTTTTTTTTTGCGTTTTCAAAAACTTTGAGAAGCTTTACGGAAAATCAGCACTGCACCCGCATTGTGTGTAATTAAGCCACATAACAGAAAAACTAGGAATGACGCATTGGATACAAAAGATTTTTCGAACTCCCTCATATCTAAGTCCTGATCTCTATTTTCTACTTGATACTATAAAATAAATTTCTATAAAATTTAAAGGGCTGGAAATACAAATTAATGTCAAATGTAATAACTAATAATTTTCCTGTATCTATCATATTTTTTCACCTGTTAATTTTAATATACTTCACCAACCAGTGATTTTTTTTACCTATCACTCTCTTTTTTTAAAGTCAGCGAATTAGTATATATAATTTCGAAGTTGAATAAGAAAAAGTGTATTTGAGACAAGAAACCAATGGAATTATCATCAAGACCATTGATTTCCATCCAGCTATAGTATACAACTTACAGCTTAGACCTACAATAGTACACATCAAGTGTACAACAGCTAGTGCTTACACTATCAAATGCAGCTAAATCTAATAGACTACAGAAAACCTAATTCTATGAGATTTGTTGTATCAGCAATGCATTATATTGATCAGATTTTAAGCACTTACTCTGGTAATTCAGTAACACTTTCAGTTGTCAAATTATCTGCAGAAGCTGACCTCCTTGGTGGATCTGGAGCTGACACATCTGGTGATCTTTCTTCACTGTTTAACCTATTCGAGGAACCACGCCTTGCTTCCATTACTCGACCACTCCTCCTGGAATAAATCAATGTGTGAACTTGTAAAATGACATCTTGCATGAAGACTGATAGTAAATATGAGTAGTTGCTTACATAGTTCCATTGGTAGCATCAATCAAAGAATTTTGAACAGCATTTATGACATCATCTATAGGTTCATTGTTGTTTGGTACGATAACTCTAGCTTCTATCACTGGTGTCACTTCCTCATCTTGATTTTCATCAGCTGGATTTTGATCTTCTGGTCTAGCAGATGGATTTTCGAGTAGATTCAGCACTGCTTCTGCTCTTCTCAACATCCTGGAAAAAATGAAACAAAAGTCTCACAGTAAATAATAAAAAGATGGCATATAAAAAGGAGTCAAGATGACTGACTTTAACCTGCAAGTGACTAAATGGTCAAATCTCACCTTCTAGCTACATTTAGCCTACTGCCACTAAGACTATGTGTAGGTGGTGGTGGTATGATTCCTTGAGACTCCATCAAGTTGCTGGGAAAGGCCATTGATCCAAGGTACATGGTGTTTCCCTGATCCAGACCACGAAATGCCCTGAATGTACGTCTTGGTGGTTGAGGAGATGCAGATCTGCTACTTGATCTTGGAGTAGCACTTGGGGGTGCCCTTTGCACCAGATGCACAACTTTGCCATTGACATCTGAAACACAAGTTTGTGATTCTCTTACTGTATAAAACCTATACCTTATATGAATAAATTGGGAAATACATTCTGCAGATAGTATTAATTTGATAGTAGGATTACATAACTGTGCTGAATGTTGTTGGCTTTCAGCTATGGAGAACAGAAATGGAAATTTTACTTGATAAAGTTATAGAAGTTATTACTTACCATAGTCAGACAATTTAGAGCTATCCTGCAACACTCTACCACAATAGATGATTCTTTGTGTATCAGCTGGAATGTTGACAGTACCGGCAATTCTTACCTTGAACTGCTCCACAGTAATCTGAAGAACAACAATATAACTGTACAAAATAACTCACAACAGTAGTGAAGTTTTTGTGGGCTAGCATCACAATGCATTATTTTTCCAATTTCCATGCTATGTAAAATACCTCAAACATCTCAGAACCAAGCCCAGAGTTATCTAGGGGCAATTAGGCCAGAGTTGCCAGGGACCTTCAACTTTAGAAGCCCCTAGAGTAGAGAAAAATGTATCTTTTTTACAATGGAAAATTGGATGGTTCAGCAAATGTAAAGAAGTCCAGGGGTGCAGCACTTTATGCTGAATATTAATAGAAATAGAATAGCTTTGACAGTTTGCAATATTAACCAACATACTATCAAATCTAACAGCCAAGTGAGAACTGCTGACAAACTGACAAAGTTATCCCATGGCCATAGGTAATTGCTATTCAGCATAAAAGTGCTGCACCCCTAGACCTCTTTACATTGGCTGATGGCCCCATTGTTACAGTGGCACCTCAAATATTGCATTGCCCCTGACACCTGTCAAGAAAGTCCAAAACTCTGCATCTTTTGCTTACAACTGTGCTAAAATTCAACTTATTCCACAAGCCAAAACCTCCACAAGGAGTATAATTCAGTCCTGTCATTTTTTTTTAATCTGTCGCCTTAAAATGAGTATACGTGTTCTCGTGCCTACTTACATCATCTTCAACAGTAAAGGGATGATTCTGGGAGTCCAAGGTGCGCACCGTCAACTCGATCATGTTGCTGGGGCTCTCTGTATTTTCTTCCATGTCTTGGCTTACAAATTACAAATGCACATACCTCTCTCTTGTTCAATTCCACTAGTGGGAATGCTACTTGCTGCACGATTGGGGGCCTACGCTAACGCCTTGTCACCAGTAAAATCGCACTCACGGAGGATTTTGAGGATACTGCCGAAAGGAATGCGCTAGGCGTTTGTATCCACACGAAATCGAACACGTAAATGTACAAATTTAATCGTAAAAATTGTTCAGAGTGGTGATGCTTTACAAAATGGATACTTGACAATGACAAATTGAAAATTGACAAGTGACAAGTGACGAAGTGACCAGTGTTGCCGAGCCGCAAAAGATGAAATCGGTACATAGTGCCGTTGAAATTCGGTAGATTCAAGGATAAAATCGCTAGGAGAAAACAATCAGGACATCGCAAGATCAGCAATGGTTTAAGGGCCTTTGAATCACACAGCGCCGTTAGTAAAAAAAGTTCTCTGGATCCATCTTTTACTGAAAAAATATTGCCTTCATTAGTACAGCTTATACAGTGAGTCGCTCTTCAAACTAATAAAATCGCTAGGAGAAAACAATCAGGGCATCGCAAGATCAGCGGTGGTTTAAGGGCCTTTGAATCACACAGCGCCGTTAATAAAAAAAGTTCTCTAAACCCATCTTTTTCTGAAAAAATATTGACTTCTTTATTACAACAACAACAACACAACAACAACGAGTCGATCTTCAAACTGTTTTCTCCATTCTTGATTACAAGATTGCGAAGCTTTTTCTGTTTTCCCCTGAACTTAACGCTTCGTCCCCTGGCGTATGTATTTAACAATTAATTTAATTAGCTTTAGCTTCTTTATTGCTTTGCCGGTAATACGGTGATGATGATGGTGACCATCAGTCTGTACGCATAACAACCAATGCAAGAAAAACCGAGTAAGGGCCGTATCGTCAGTCGTTTCGACAATTGTAGGACGCCTTTTGCCATGCTTTTGATTTTTATCTGTTTTATCCACCTGAAATTTCCTACAATCTGAAAAGAAAACATAACTTCACGATATGGGAGCGCGGACGCTGACACGATACAGTAGAAATCTAGAAATCCCCAGCCTCTCGGAAGGAGAGAAATGACTATGAAAATCAATGAGGCCATAAAGCGTCCTACAATTATTGTAGGAGCGACTAACGACACGGCCCTAAGGGATGTGCTGTAGAGATACTGAAAAATTAGTAGGCCCGGCAACACTGCAAGAGACAGAAAAAACAGCACAGAATATAAGGATAAGGTGGAATGGTGGATGGTGGAAAGGAGTGAGCGACAGTAGAGGATGGAGGATGTATAAGTCAGTAGATATACAGCGATCATAAGGTGGATTCTTTAATTCACCGGTTGATTCCACCACTGATGCTTATGGTTGACACTGTTGACAGCTTTGTATGGTGATGGCAGCAACCGGTTGAATTGAAAGGACAGATGTCTGGTCCACCGGTGGCACCGGTTGCTCAACCGGTGAATTAAAAAATACACCAATACTGTAGCGTTTTCCTGGGTTCTTTTGGGAGTGGATTAAAACACTGGATTCCACAAAAAGAAATGCACTAATTTATTTAACTTGATAGAACATTTATCTACACCACTATTTATGTCTGACTAACTTATATCGCCATTGACTGCACTATACTCCACTCCGCTCTGCTCTGGTGTAATCTAAACTCTCTGCTTCCATGTTTTTTTTTTTTTTTTTTGGTGAGGGGGAATGCGTTTACGCACCATACCTTAGCCCGAGCTACGGCGTGTGTGGGACTCCAGGTTGTCTTGAGGAGACCACCTAATACCCACTAAACCCTCATGTGTTTCAGTCTCTGGGAACGCCGGGTTGGTTCCCTTTACCTCGCACATTCTATCGATGTCGTTAAGCGATCATCGATAGAGGGTCTGCTAGGTTCTCTTGAAACTCTTGTTTTCGAAAAATCAAGAGTTTCAAGTCCTCTTACCAATATGTTGTTCCTGGTCCTGGTCCTGAAGGGTCCTGGTCCTGGTGGGTCCTGGTCGTGGCGGGTCCTGGTCCCGGTGGTTCCTGGTCCTCTGCATCCACGCCGTGGGGGGGGGGGGAGCAACCGCGGGTTCTCCTAGTCTCCTAGTCAAGGTTCCAGTTAGCGGGTGCCAACTGGGACCTTGGTCTAGGGTACCTGATTCTGCGGTTGCGAGGCCTCTCGTCCGGATCGTAGTCCATGAGGAATCGTAGCTGCTCGTTCGGGTGGTCCTGAGCTTTCTCGAAGGTCTTCTCCGCTTTTTTCCTGATGTACTCGTGAATGGTGTCCCAATGCAGGTCTCTACGCAAGGTTGAGTTTCTTACGTAGGATGGTGCACTGGTGGCGATCCGGAGTAGCTTCATCTCTAGAGCAGCAAGTCGCTTGCGGTAGCTAGGGGCAGCGTACCCCCAGACCGCGGAGGCGTAAGCGAGCTGAGGTCTGGCGATGGCCTTGATCAGCCGTAGCTTGGTCGCTAGCGGCATCCGGCTGTGTCTACCCAGTAATGGGTAGAGTTGAGCCATGGCTGCTCTGGTCTTTGCGATGACAGCTTCTATGTGGACTTTCCAGGTGAGGGACTTGTCAAATACGATCCCCAGATATTTAACTTTGTCGCTCCACTGGATATCTTCGTCGAAGATGGATGCTTCGAGAGGTCTTGCAATCCTTCTTCGTTGAATGAAGATTGCCTGCGTCTTCTGGACGTTGATGCGGATTTTCCATTTCACGCACCAGTCCTGGATGTGGTCCAGTCCATCCTGTAGTCTCCTACGGATGATCTCGGGTCGTCTATGCTTGGCGGCTATAGCAGTGTCGTCTGCATATAGGGCCAGCATTGTGTCAGCTGTCTTCGGCACATCGTGAGTATAGATGTTGTAGAGCAGGGGGGCTAAGGCTGACCCCTGGGGCACGCCTGCTTCCAGCTGTCGTCTTGTTGAATGGCATGTACCAATCTTCACCGTGAACCATCTTTGTGTTAGATAGCTCTGGATCAGTTGGCACATGTTCGCATCGATTCCGGCGGCTTCCATTTTGGCGATGAGTCCATCGTGCCAAACTCGATCGAAGGCTCGTTCCACGTCCAGCAGGACGAGACCGGTTGCCTCCTGGAGATTGAAGCCGCTGGTGATGTTTTCTGTCAGTCGTAGCGCTTGGAGTTCCGTGTTGTGGGAGGATCTGAAGCCGAATTGCTCTGGGGGGAGAAGTTGCAGTTTTTCTGCCTGCTTCTCTAGTCGAACGGCGATAGCCTTTTCGACTACTTTGCCCATCGAGAAAACCAGGCTGATGGGCCGGTAGTTCTGGGGCAACTTCCGGTCCTTGCCTGGCTTGGTGAGCATTATAACCTGGGCTTCCCGCCACCGCCGCGGGAAGTGGTTAAGTCTCAGAGTGGCATTGGCGATGTTGGTGAGCGCAGCAATGCCTTTGGTGGGAAGGTTCTTCAGCATCCTGTTGTTGATGCCGCCCCTTCCCGGCGCCTTTCTGACCTTCAACCTGCGGATGATCAGACGGATTTCCTCTGGACTGGAGGGGTGATCCGTCTCCTGGCCAGGTGGTCGACTCCTCATGCTTTCGGCTGCGACTTCCACGGCCTGCTCGTGGTTGTCGTCCTCGTCTTCATGGTAATTGAGTCTTCATTCGGATTCTAGCGAATCGGCGAATGCTTCGGCTTTTTCTTCACTGGAGTAGGCCAAGCCGCGTTGGCCGTGAAGAGTGGGGATCGTGGTGCGCTGACGACGAAATTTTCGCTACATAGTCCAGGCCGTACCATCCTGGGTCTCTAGTTCTGCACAGGCTGCATTCCATCTGCTGTTTTGGAGTTCCACGAGTGCGTTCTTCAGAGCTAGCGATGCTCTGTTTCGCGCAACTCTCGACTCCTCTGTCAACAGCTGGAGATGTTCTCGCTTGAGTCTTCTGTTCTCCCTGATCAGGTGCCTAATATGGTGCGGTGCTGGACCATTTAGGTGTCTAGGAACTGCCGCAGTCTCGGAGCGGGTGCTGTCCTCGTGCGCTCGCAGGACAGCATTCTCCAGCTCCTCTACTGCGTTGTCCAGTTCCTCCGCTGATCGGATGGTTGGAATTTGAGTGATGTTCCTTTGGACGTTGGATTTATACAGGCTCCAGTTCGTCCGTTTGGTGCTCAAGCTATCTCGAGTTCTAGACCCTGTGCCAAGTGTTAGTAGAATCGGATTGTGGTCCGACGATCCTTCCACCAGGGTCTCTATCTCGAACTCCTCTCTGATGCTGCGGAGGATGGCTATGTCCAGTACCGCAGGTCGCCCAAGGCCGAATGGAATGTAGGTGGGTTGCTCCGGACCGATGATGACCCCCGCCAGGGCATCGACGTGTTCCTGGAGCTGCCTTGCATTCCTGTCTTCGACGTTGTTGATCCATGCCGGAGACTTGCAGTTTAGATCTCCGATGACTATGCGTGCTCCTGGGCCTCTCAGGAGGTCAGCGATGTCATCTTCGTCTAGGGCCTTCCCTGGTGGCATATATAGGGAGGTGATTCTGTAGGGACGGTGATTGTGATGGACCTGGACCGTGATTCCGTCCCCATTGATGTCTGCGGCATCGTCGAGGACATGACTCGTCAAGGTACGTTTGACAAGTAATGCGACTCCTCCACCTCTGCCTCTTCTGTCGTAGTGGTACGTCTCGTACCGCGGGAACGTCAGACTATGGGCAGCATCCAATTTCGTTTCTTGGATGGCCATCACCTTTGGTTGGTACTGGTCTAGTATCTCCTGGATTTCTGGTTTCCGTGCCCTGAATCCGTTGATGTTCCAGGAGATAATGCGTAGAGATTCTACGTTTTGCCCTGTAGTCATTTCGGATCTATTGCTTGTCTTGCATCTTGGCCTCGAGTGCATCCAGGCGGGTTATGATGGCTTGCATCATTGCTAGCAGTCTGTCATCGCCGTGTTGCTTCTGCGCAGTAGTTCCAGAAGCAGTGGCGGCTGCTGGGGCAGAAGTGGACATAGGTTTCTTCGCTTTTTGAGCGTAAGAGGTTCTATTTGTGGTGGGGACTGCTTTGGGGGCAGCAGCAGCTTTCCTCGGGGCCTTACTACATCCCTTGTAGTTGGCGGGGTGGCCTTTTCCACAAAGGCAACACTTGGCGTTTCGTTGCCCTGTTGGCGGCGCTGGCAGGCTGCAGCTGGTGCTGCTGTGGTCCTCTCCACACTTAACGCACCGTTCAGCGAGACGGCAGTTCCGCTGTGTGTGCCCGTACCGCTGGCAGCGGTAACATTGGCTGGGCTCGGTGGACTTTTTCTTCCTCTCGAAGCTGACCGTGAGCATGGCCAGCCTCTGGATCTCTAGAAGCTTTTCCGGCATCTTCGTCTTGACGAGGAAGAGCGGAAGTGGCTTCTTGGTGGTCCTTGAGGTCATCTGCTGAACCTCAGCGTCTGCGATGCCTTGGCTCACTAGACCCTCTTTGACGTCATCGATTGACATCTCCCTGGGTAGTCCACGAATGACCCTCTGGTCCATCCTGTCCTCCTTCATTTGATAGGTGAAGAAGGGCCGCTTGATGGAGTCCAGCAGTGCGACTAGCTGACGGTAGTCAGCTGGTGTATTTGTGAACACCTTCACACTGTTACCCGCCGTCCTCGCCTTGGAGAATTGGATCCCCTTGTTGTTCATCATCCTGCTTAAGGATGACCAGTCAGCGGTGCCCTCGATATTGATTGGCGGAACTCCTGTTCCTGCCATGGGGGCCTCGGTGGTCCTGGTTGCTCTAGGACCTCTCTTATTGGTGGCAGCTGGCATCTTTGGCTGCCTGGATGGTTCTTCTTCTTCGGAGGAGGAGGAAACTCTCACTCGTTTTATCCTCCTGGTGACGACACTGAAGTCTGCGTCATCGGTCCTCTTCACGGCTTCTTCTTCGACTTCTTGGGCATCCATGTCCCTGTTTTCCGTAGACTGCTGGTCCTCGTCTCCCTGGTCCTCACCTTCTTCTTCTCTACCGTCTTCTTCGCCTTCCTCTTCGCTTTGAGGAGCTTCCCCATCACTTCCTCTATCTCTTGCCTCGCCTGCTTAAATGTTTCTTGCAGATTTTTCATCTGCTCAGCAAGCATTGCGAAGTTATCCTCCTTCTGCTTCAGCTGGCTCGTCAGTTTTTCTATTCTCGCCATCGTGGATGGCGATCGTATCGTGATGAAAATCACAATAAGGTCGCACTGTAAGTCCGGGTGGGTCGCAGTCGCACAAGTGTATACTCACGACGGCTGCTAGCTCGGAACTTGGGTGCTTCCATGTCCTGGACGCCGAGTTATATATAGTCCCAATTGCTGCTTCGAGAAAGGCCGGGTGAACCACAAAGCGAGATCTAGAATATTGGAGGTCACTTCGCGTCGATCTAGAAGGCGATCCACTGTCACGGTCCTCACACACGCCGCCAAGCGGCTTGTGCGGTCGTGGTTCGCGTAAAAGCAGAGATCGGCCATTAGGCTCTGGCGAGTAGAAGACTCGCCCAACAGATGGCGCCAACAGAACTATTTGTCACAATACTTGAACGATTCTTACCCGCCTTCTTTGTACATACTAATAACAGCCTTCAAGTAGTCAGACTTAATTTTTTCGACACAGTTGTGGCCCAAGCAGCCAATTTGTCAAAAATGCATAATGATAGATGCAGGCTGCTTTTTCAAAAATTTATGCAACAAGGCTAATTTAGTTAATGTTGGTGAGTACAGGTTAATTTAATTAAAAGAGTGGTGAATGTAAGCGATACTTGTTTTTAAAACTAATGAGACGAGGCTGTTTGAATTAATATTTGCCGATTTTTCAAAAAAATGTTGGAAGCTTGCTCGATAAAAATGGTGAATACGGGTTGATTTTTCAAAAGTTGATAGAGGTAGTAAAAAATAGTGGGCTCATTATGATTTTTCAAAAAAAAGATGGATGCTTGATGTTTTGAAAAAAGATGAATGCGTACTGATTTAAAAAAATGGTAGATGCAGGATTCGGTAGAATAAAAGATGATTTTAAAAAAATAAATTATATTAGAAATATATCCAATAAATAACAGTATGAATTACCACTTGCATTTCATGGCTGTTTGAGAAACGCAAGTGATATTAATTATAAAATGATTTTTCCATAAAACTAAAAACATACAAAATGAATAAATACTTACATTATACTACTATAGATCGTTGTTTGTTAGGAATTATTATTACAATACCCATATAGCTAAATGTAGTAATGGCTGAGTTACTCCATTTATTATCTCTTAAAAACTATGTCGGAGGGAATGTCCACACTTAAATAGAGGTAGGCCCTCTGAATCGTACAGCTATTTAAGTTTTCAATCCCTTTTAAAACTTAACGAAAAACTAAATTATTGTCTTACGCAGTGTACATACTAAAAAACAGAATATGGTATATTATGTACAATGGCTTACAAAATGTTTAGTTAATGAAGGGGCCAAACGCAATTAATTAGGACAGCATTAATGCCTCTTATAGTAACCGTTAGCATTATAAGAATACTTGCATATGACATAACATTTATAATAATGCTTTTTGCAGGCCTTTACATTAAGTATATTTACGTCTATTTTCTCCTATTTATACAATTCATAACACATTCATTAAGCTTACGGCGAGCTCGTACCTAAAGAAAGCATGCAAAAGTATCGAAAAGAATTGTTCTTCAAGCAGCGCACACTGATGCCGTGAGTATCCATCGGCATAAAGTGGCATCCTGCCAGCTTGCGAGAATGTCTACAACGTTGCTGACAGAGGATGCTGCGGCAATCCGACTCCTCCCTCCACCGTATTCCTCAGCGTGTTCTTCGATGCCGACAGATAAAAATCCTTCGTTATTGGAGGACAAGTTCTTCCGCAGCGAGAAATCTCGAAATGCCGCGGTATCTTTCAGTCAAGTCTGTAGATACTTTCATACGTAGGTCAGATGCCGCAATATGCCAACGGATGCTGACGGTATAGATTTTTCTCAACGGTAATCACTATGCATCAATCTTCGAGAACTAACAATGGTAGTGTCTTAAATTGGATAAAATAATAGGGAAATATTTCACGAACTGTTAATGCAAGGTCATAACAAACGGTAAAATTTAAATTTATAGCTTTTTACACCAATTATTCTACATCCGCGATACTCTGTCTTTATACATAACCAAAATAAATATGACTTTGGCTGGTTGCCATATTTATTTTTAATTTTCTATGCTATCGCACAGCTGGAGAACATAGAAATGGATTTCCTTTCCGGCAGCGAACATGGATGAGGAAAATCTCTTGTGGAAGGAATACCGCGGCATGCCAGCATCTGTCCGCGGGATCCCAAATCATGCTCTCTGATGCCGTTGGAGAAAAATTCTTCTGGGCTATTGTAGCGCACGTTGTGGGATACCAAAAAGGGAGCTTTCATTAGTATAAGAGGTAGCTAAGCCTGGGAAGATTTTGCAGCAGCAAGACCTGGTGTGTCACCTGGTGTACCAGCGCCAGCATCATCAGCAGCAGCGGGACCAGCAGCACACATCAAAGGATACCGTTGTTTTCCCACGATCTACAAATTTTTCCGACGCTCAACTGTCCCTTATACTATTGCTCTCGTTGCAAACTGTTGGTATGCAGATGCGCACGGTACCGTTAGAGCATTTCTTTCGTCAAATGTGTCCTGTCGGAAAGAATATTATTTATAATGCTCTACTCGCCTGCCATATCCGGATGTGCGCTAGCTCTAACCACTCAGATCTAATGGACAAATATTATTTGATTAGATTACATATGTATCACAACATTATGAGATCTATCAATTTATTACGAGGATATCATCTATAAAATCACTATCGATTAACATTTAACAACAACGTAACGCTTATTAAAAAATCTTCAATTAACAATCAAATATGGCTGATATTCGATCAAAATTGTAACATTTTTATAATCAATATATTCAAATCACCATTTGTATATATTTATCGCTAAACCAGTATATAAAGCTTACCATCTACCATCTACAAAATGAGCTTAAAGGACTATTTTTTACGACTACCTTGGAATTCCGTCATATCTCTGTATACATGCATGTCTTTGTTGTAATATACTATTATTATAAAGAGAATAATGTTTTGATTGGAAAAGTGTTTTTTACTGCCTTTTGGAATAAAATCTACAAGATGTTTCAGAAAAACGTGGCAATACTTTTGGGATAAAAAGTAAGGGCCGTGTCGTCTGTCGTTCCTAAAATTGTAGGACGCCTTTATGGCCTCCTTGATTTTCATAGTTTTCTACTGTTCCGTCTCAGTGCTCTATTTTGAGGTTATGTTACAAATATCTATTTGCATCAAATTGTTCATGCTTTGGATTTAGAGCATCGAAATTTCCTACAATTCACAAATAAAGGATAGCAAACAGTAGAAACTTAGAAATACTCCAGTCTTTCTGAAGGAGAGAAAAAAGTATGAGAATCATGGAGGCTATAAAGGCGTCCTACAATTGTAGGAAGGAATGACGATATGGCCTCTAAACATAGGTTCTAAAATATCTTATTACCAAGATACAGAGCTTTGTAAATTTGTGCGCGACTGCACTGATGAGACTGGATAAATAGAAAACATGAACATTGTTTAAATAATGTTACAGTGAGATTAGAGTATTCTTAAAGTAGAACGGGTTGAAGTTTGAACAACAGTTTTTAAGAGAGGCAATTCATGTGAAATTGAATACCTCATTTAGAAATGCAGTATATATTCCAAAAAATTCAGTGGTGTAGAACACGATTTTTTCTTAGGGGGTCATGTTTGCTCAATTTCTACACCACTGGTATAGTCTTAGGCATTGACATGTCTGTATATATTAGCTTCGATGTCAGTACCAAATGTAGAAAATTTCAATTCAATATATCAAACAATTTCGAAGATCTAAGTTTTTTCTATTTCAAAATTATATTAACATAGAGTGTTATGAACTTTACGTATTGCCGCATTTTTCCGAAGCACCCTGTTTACCAAAACTTTGATCCATAAATATTTCAGATAGCAACGGAGCTCCAGGGTAATAACCATTTGGTCTATCAAAACTTGCCTAATGACATTGAGATCTTACACTAACCATTCAATTGTACAGGAACGAGATGTGTCTGAGATGCTTCCAGGTCAGACGTCTGTGCTTCCACAGTAGGTAAACGCACTGTTGTCTGACGAATGTTCTGCTTGCCAGATCATTTTCCACCTCTGAAAACAACTTGCTAATATACTCATCCATCTTCTAATCCCAAAATACAAAAAGTATAATTTTTCAATAAACATGCCCCAATAGCAACGCCGTAAAGTGACAACTGTTTCGCGCAGTTGCAAAGTCTATGATTTACAGCTGAGAGACTAGTTTTACTTCCCATTTATATCTTACATTCGTCAGGGTTTTTCCAACTTGACTGTTGTCGTCACCATTTTATTCTAATTCCGAATGGTAGGTTAACTTACCTGCAAAACATTTCCTGGAGTTATGATGAATTTGTAAATGATATAGAGAGGTATACACACTATGGATGAGGCCGTGAGTGTATAGCCTACTTTTAAGCTCCATTCTGGATATTTGTATTCTGTACCAAGCATTTCTTCGTGGCTTAGTAACGAAAAGATGAAAATTATCTAAAATAATCAATAATATAAGTACACAAACATTCATTATATCGCTTGCAATGAGGTATCTTATTTGCAGATAAAACACTATTTTTTTAAAATACAATACAATAGAAAAAGTGGGCTTCAAGAAATACTCACCAGGATAAATACAGGACTAATATATTTCCAACATATCCTCCAAAATAATCCAGGTCTGTGTCCTATCATTTTTTCTATATCTCTGGCGAAATTTTCAGTTCCATATATCCAACAAACGCCAGCTGCCTCTACAAATACCACGAACAGTATCGCTAAGCCTGGACCATAGATATTGAGCATGTTCACTAGGTAGACACCACCCTGTGCAAAAACAGAATGAAACACATATAGTCGAAATCACGAAAGATGACGATTACGTCATCATTTTAGTCTGTAGTAAAGACAAACGACAGCGATTTGTGAATATATTTAATGAACTTTCTGATATGTTAGACAGAGACAAACAGAATTTTATTGTCTAAACAAACTGTATTGCTAATTTGCATGTATCCGATAAAGATAGACGATATTTTCATTTTGCATGATCCATCATATTTGAAAGATGAATGGTTAGGTTATGTTAAAGCAGGTTAGGTTGTTTTTGAATAATACTTTGGTCTTTGGTGTTCCTGTCTTAAGGTATTCTACTCCTAACTGTTTTTTTAAAAACAAAAACTCCCCACTAAAATTATTATTAAGGTATCACTCAAAACCATGAAATAAAATGAAAATAAAAATAATCAGTCAAATAACCTAACTTCGCAAAATCATAATATAAATTTGTTGTCATTACGTTTCTGACTCGTGATTTTATCATCGACCTACATCCATTGATTACTTCAGTACAATTTATAGTACGACGTAATAGTCATCTTTCGTGATTTTGACTATATGGCAGTAAAGAGTGGAAATTGATGCAAGATTTGATTGAACAAAAAACGCAGATTTTATTTTTTTATCGATTAACAAAGTACTCAGTCAAATGACCTTCCTGACATTTCAGGCATATACCCACTCTCTTGTTGAAACTCTTGATGAGCATTTTGCTGGGCTTAGTTGAAGCAGCATTGAAGTTCGTACCACAATGCATGCATCACTATAACCTTGTTGGCACAACCTTTAAGCTATAAAAAACCCATGGTCTCAAACTGCATTATATAGAAGACCAAGTCTGATCACCGAAACAGGCCATATTGAAACCATATGTTATCCAGATCAATATTATCTTATTTAGAAATGTGTGCCGACTTTTTTAAAAAGTGGTGAGGGCGCATTTTAAGCTGATCTGGTAACCTAGTGAAATAGAAGAAGGAAAACCGACGCTTCATCAACCAATTTCAACCATATTTGCGCAAAATGGTCGACAAACACACACAAAGACCAAGGAGGCTCTTTCCGCTTTTATGATTTCGTGTGTTTTCACAGTTCCTTTGACGACTTTACTGATCAACTATACTACTATACTTACATAAGTGGTAGTAGGAAGAGCACACACATATATTCCTAAAAGTAGTGCAGCCACAAACAATTCTCTGTGCCTGCCCAGGACCCTGGGGTATTCATCACATAAGGCTGTGATCATGGCCTCTAAGCCCCCAAAAGTGCTGTCCAAACCTAGAGTGATCAGCATCAAAAAGAAGATTACCGACCAAAAGACGCTGCCACTCATAGTTGCTATCGCTTCTGGATAGACGATGAATACTAAGCCCGGACCTGGAAAATTAAGTAGGTTTAGTCGGGACGCCAGCGTAGGCAACCAAATAATCAGAAGGTTGTATAACTGGTTGCCTGGATACCATCGTGGCTTAGTTCATGGAGAATCAAACTTGAAGCTCTTGTATTTCGTAAATCACCAGTCTAAACACTTCAGCTCTGTTTACAATAGGCTTACACAATGTAATTTAGGAGTTAAGGACTAAATTTGAAAAAATAATTCATATTGTAGGAAAAAAAGTGCTTATCAAAAATTATGCATCAGATGTGCAAATTTCATTTTCTAAAGACTACGTTATGTAGCTGTTTCCCATTTCGTATTCCTCAAAATTTAGAAAACAACGTGATTATTTGAGAGCGTACAGTAAAATAAATACCTTCTAGTCCGACATCTTCTATACTCTTATGTTGCACGTGAGCCATATAGCCAAGCACCGAAAAAATCACAAATCCTGCCAAAAAGCTGGTAAGACAGTTGATACTGCTGGTCAAGATGGCGTCTCGATAGCAGTTGTTGTTGAATTTGTTGTAGCTGGCCAAGGCTAGCAGGGTCCCGAAACCAGGACCCAGTGAGAAAAATATTTGGGAAGCTGCGTCTATCCATACCTTCAAAAATGTGATTATTTTCAGATCGTATAATTTCTGTAATTCATAATATTTACCTTTGTGTTGTATAATTTCTTCCAATCTGGTGTGAGGTAGTACCTGATTCCATCCGCCGCACCTGGGAGGGTTACACCCCTTGCTAGTAGTATTATCAGTACTACGTATGGAGCAAGAGCTGTTATCCATACTGCCTACAATTTAATAGTAGCTTTAAGAATACTATGATTATGTAGAAAAATTGTAAAATGTTCAATCGTAAGGTAAAAGATTACGAATGTTCATATGGCGACGGCTTAGACGTAGGATCAACAGCTGGGAAAGGGTGTTCCTAAGCTGGGATTTTCCTTTACATGACGTACATTTCATGTAGCAATAAGCAAGTTTTCATGATAAAACATATTCCAAAACCTAAAGATACCAAGGTATTAAGTACCTAAAAGATCTGAATGGGTCAACCCGACCCAGCATCCAACATAAAATAGTACGACGTGCGTTAATTTCCAAATCCGTTGCCGCGCGGTGTGTAGCTTAACCTATTTACAAATCGGATTTGAAAAATTAAAAGTAGCACACTCCTAGAGTAATATCCTAGCTGTCGATTTAATATTACTTTACCATAAGCGTGATACTTCGCGAGTGTGTTGTTATTCCGGTTGTTTCCATCCGTAACTGTGTGGGCTTACTTATATCGTGCAAAATCCGCTGAAGTAGAGAATCTAGACAGTCCCAAGAGTTGCAAATTCAGCAAACAGTTAACGAACGTGTCGGTTGATTAGTTTTTGGTATTTTCGTTCCAGGGATTTCGTGAAATGACTTAAAATGTTTGAACACATCTTCCAATTTTTCAGCACCATATTCTAAATGTGGGATTATCTCAAAAACAAACTGGTCGATTCCATTTAAACTTTATAAAATCATGTGTCAATGTAATGCTATGGTACATGAAAGGGAATTACTAGTATGGAGGCCAAGCAAATACTTCATTAATCATGTTGAAATGCAATTATTATTTAACATAAGAGAAATAGTTGACTGAGGCATGAAATTAATAGACCCGGAAAGGGACCCTTATGGTCCTATTCGGCTTATCTCGATCTAAAGATTGATGTGGCATTGTCTTTAACATCCCTCCCTTCTAGTGTTCATCAGGCCCATCAGATTTAACTTTACTGTTGTAATTTTAACTGGGCGGCTGGACTTCATCTAGCATCACAAGTCTCATTAGCCTAGTGACTGTAGAAAATAATTATCTGGTTGTGTTTTAGTGTTATACGAGTATATGCTATATTTATCTATATTGTATAAGTAGTGCATAGCATGTCTTGTAGCTCATACAGATTTACACTGAGAAACCCCGAAACCAGTCAAGACCCTCAAATCTGAATGGTTTCTCGCTGTCTTATTATCGGCCTAGCATGTTTTTCGATAAGTTATGCTTCTTCGGCCCATGGGCAGAAGGCCCCTACGCCTCTGGCCCACACCGAATGTCAAATATGGTTTTGTAAACGGATATATGTTTTTAGCCTCTGTAACAATGATCGCATACAACGTTCTTTCATCTTATAGCAATCATCAGTATACAGGGTGTCTGCGTAAGGTTGGGAAATCTCGAAACTGGAGAAACTACAGACCAAAATATGTGAATTGACCTAAATATACCTTAGTCCAAAGGTTGATAGTTTGCGAGATACAGGGTGTCAAAGTATACCACGCGTGTTCCTTAATGATATGCGAATATTTAAGGGTGTGGATCTACATGAAAAATTAATGTTAGTTTGCTTTATAAACTATGGTCCAAAAATGTTTCCTTACAAAAACTCGGGATGTTGAAGTTTTAAGAAAAAAATGGAAGGTAATTAATTTTTTTCAGAACCCCTTTAGATATTTCATATATATGTAATACGTAGTGGAAGTTAATAAAGTTGAATATTTTTCAATGCTAATATAATTTTTAGCTTCAACAGTGGCGTACGTACGGGTATTGACTTCGACATTTTTTAAGAAAAAAAATCGTACGCCAATAGTTGTTTGCCAAATAAAAATTATTTTTAAATTTCCCGTTCAATTTAAAACAAATGATCTCTCTTGAATTGTTTTCCTTCGATGCGCCTTTTTGAGTAAAAAAATAAAAACTGTTCTATTGTATAACTTTTCTATTATTAATTTAATTGGAAAAATTAAACACATTAGGGGTAATGAACAATAACAACTGACAACATAAACATAACATTAAAACCAACGAAATGATTACAAAAATTGTTGAAAATGGCCCCCTTCACTTAGTATGCATGCTTCCGCCCTCCTTCTCATGGAATTGCGCACTCGTTGAAATATCCTTGGAGTGTTTTTTATTCTATCACAAGCTGCAACGATTCTTTCTCTTAATTCCTCTACAGTGTTAATGGGACTTGTTACACTAGTGTCTTAAGATAGCCCCACAAAAAGAAATCTAAACTGTTGAGGTCTGGGGACCGTGGTGGCCATTCTTGGGGCCCACCGCGGCCAATCCAACGATTTGGATAAACAGTTTATGAATAATTACGAACCGCTACACTGAAATGCGCTGGTGCACCATCATGCATGTACCACATATTGTTTCTTATTACTAACGGAACATCATCAAGCAAACATCACCCAAATTTATTTGCTGCCTTTATCGCTCTCCCTCGAACCATAACTGGGATGACCTACTCGAATACCTCGCCGTCCAGATCGACTTCCTGAACATCAATCACCCCGCTTCAGAGGTAGTTCTTCTCGGTGATTTCAATGCCCATAATGAGCTTTGGTTGGGCTCAAATAAGACCGATGCAGCAGGTCGTACAGTCGAAGCGTTCGCTCTTACTCAAGGGCTGACCCAGCTGGTGACGAGCCCTACTTTTTTCCCCCGCGTCTCGTCACACGCCAGTAGCCTGCTGGATCTCTTTCTGACCACGCATCCTGCCCCTTACAGCACTGCCGTCCTGTCCCCCCTGGGTAACTCAGATCACGGTGTTGTGGAGGTTAGGTTTCGGTCAGAAGCCGATGTGGCCGCAGAAACTCGCACAGGCCGCAAAACTTGGCATTACGGACATGCCGACTGGGAGGGGCTCAGAGACTTCTTCTCTAGCTTTCCTTGGAGAGATGTCTGTTTCACTGACGCGGATGCGTCGACTGTCTGTTCTTCAATAACCGAAATTATCCACGTCGGAATGGAGGAATACATCCCTCACACAGTGAAAGCTCCTAAACCAGGGTCCAACGGCTGGTTCAACAAATCGTGTGACACTGCTCGCCAGCAGAAGAGCAAGGCCCACAGAACCTACTTACAAAACCCTACTGTAGAGAACAGACAAGCCGACGTCGAGTCCAGAAACAAATATAACGAAGCGGTTCGCAATGCCAAAACCCAGCATGATATAAAAGTTAGGCACAGGGTAATGTCGCAGCGCAATGGCAGTCGGTCTTTCTGGACGCTGGCCAAGCAGATTGAAAAGAACTTCTCACACAGTAGCCTTCCACCACTTACGTGTCAGGATGGAACTATTGTAGTCGACTCAGAGGCCAAGGCGGAAGTGCTAGCCAAGATCTTTGCTGCCAACTCCACCATGGCCGTCCCCACCAACGCCCAAGTGCCGTCAATTCAAAGGGTTTCCCACACTATGCGGGAGGTAACATTCAGGCATAAGACCGTAAGACGAGTGCTTTTGTCGCTCGACATCAACAAAGCTTCCGGTCCGGACTTGATTCCTGCCATTGTACTGAAGAGATGTGCAGCTGAGCTTGCTCCAGTTCTTTCGCGTCTCTTCCAGATATCTTATGAATCCGGCACCTTCCCAGAAAACTGGAAATTTGCTCATGTACAGCCCATCCCAAAAAAAGGATCTAAAACCGACCCTTACAACTACAGGTCTATAGCTCTGCTTTCTGTTATAAGTAAAGTGATGGAGAGGTGCATAAATCGCGAGCTTCTGGACTACCTCGAACGTCACAGCTTGATTAGCGACAGGCAGTACGGTCTCCGGCACCAACGATCCACAGGGGACCTCCTAGCTTACGTCACGCAACTGTGGAGTAAACTCATCCAGTCTCATGGTGAGGCTCATGTCGTTGCTCTTGACATCACGAAAGCGTTCGATCAGCTGTGGCACGCTGCCCTCTTGAGCAAACTTCCATCCTACGGCCTCCCAGAAAAGCTTTGCAGATGGGTGGCTGACTTTATCTCTGGCCGCAAGATATCCGTCGTAATTGACGGATTCTCCTCTTCATCCCACAACGTCAACGCGGGTGTTCCCCAGGGATCGGTCTTGGCTCCAACACTGTTTCTCTTACATATCAACGACCTCCTTTCCTGCACGATCAACCCAATCCACAGCTTCGCTGATGACAGCACTCTACACGCAGGAATTCAGAGTGACAAGCCGATCTCTGCCGCTGAGCTGGAAAAAAGAAGACTAGCGACGACTTCTTCTCTGACAAGAGACCTGGAGGCTATCACTGCTTGGGGACGCAACAATCTTGTACAGTTCAATGCTTCCAAAACACAGTACTGTACTTTGACGAACAAAAAGCGTCCTAGCGCTCATACAGTTTCGATGGACGGTCGAGTTCTACCAAAGAGCCATTCATTTCGGTTGGTCGGAGTCCAGATCACCGAGTACCTGATTTGGCACGAACACATCTCTTCAATAGCTGCAGCTGCTGGGAAAAAGCTAGGCTATTTGTTTAGGGCTAAGAAGTACTTTTCTCCGAATGACCTTCTCACTCTATACAAGGCCCAGATAAGGCCTAGCCTCGAGTATTGCTCACACATTTGGGGTGCTGCCGCCCCGACTACATTGTCCATGCTCGATGCTGTCCAGAGGAGGGCGGTCCTACTGATCGATGACTCTTCTCTAACAGACAGTCTCGGGACTCTTTCGCACCGGCGGGCCGTCGGCGATCTAGCTCTTTTCTATCGCTACACCAACGGGCTTTGCTCCTCAGAGCTCTCTTCCATGATGCCGCCGCGCGATGTGCCTGCCAGACAGACCCGCCTGACTTCGGCGTCCCATCCTAACCGTGTCAAACTTCGTACATCCAGAACTGGCCGATACGACCGCTCCTTTATCCCGAGGGTGTCTAGATTGTGGAACAAACTACGGGAAGAAGCTTTTCCCAGTTCTACTAACCTTAGGCAGTTCAAAAATCGTATTAACAAAATTTCTTTGGG